GCGGTCGTTTGAGCGCTTGGCAGACAAGCTGAACGACAAGACGGAGGCTCTCGCGACATGCCAGGCCGAGCTCAACCTTTGCCAGCTCAACATGGACGATGCTGTGGCAAAGCGGCAAGCCCTGGAGACAAGATTCGCGGAGCTGCAGCAGAACTACGACAACCTGACCGCCCAGCACCAGGCGACGCTGCAGGCTATGCAGCCGATGGTCTCCAGCAAGCAGGAGTCGCAGTCGTGGCAGGCTGCTTGGTGCACTGCAGAGGAAGGGCGTATGAAGCTGCAGAGACAGCTCGAAGAGCAGAGCTCCAAGCACGCCAGTCAACTGGAGACCATGATGCGAGAGGTGAAGGAGAACGCGGAAGACAGGAGGGCTGGGCTGATCAGGACACACGTCCAGCAATTGAAGGAGAAGGACGTGCGCATCACCGAACTGATGGAGGAAAACATGCAGCTGAACGAGTTGCTGAAGAACAAGGCAAGTCTGAGATAGAGAAAGACTTCGGGGGTTACCAGCGTCAAGAGTAAGAGCTAATAACCTGGCAGGGGAAGAGCAAGCCTGCTGAGCATGAGGGGGAATCTCGAGATTTCAATTTGGGAGGTCTCCCCAGCCGCAAAAGAGCCGAAGAAGAAGCAGGAGCCGAAGCAGACCAAGGTGCCTCGCATCGTTGTAGCGACTCCATAATACGACTCTACTACTCGAGCTTGGCAGGCTGCGGCGAAGGTGGTAGCCCCCAAGGCGAAACCGAAGGAGATGCCGATCGAGGAGGCACCGGCTTCTATTGTACAAGCGGCATATCCATATCTGTTTGACGCCTGATTTTGAAAGGCCATATCCAAAGATGTGACCTTGGAGGAGTTGATTCAGGCCTCGATCGGGATTGAGATTTCGATAACAATCCTCTGTCTGATTTTGCAGGCCCATGGCAATGCTGGTGCTGGAAGCAGCAAGGCTCGACAACGGCTCGCATTCTTGTTCAACCTTGGACACTGCTGAGTTTGCCAGGACAGGCCTCTTCGCGGGCCAGATGCAGGGCAGCCCTCAAAGAGGCGTAAGACGGACGAGGCACCGAAATATTCTATCCCGGTAGTCGTGAAATTGATGTCAATTTGCCTCCAGGCTCGAGCGCGGAGCCCGGCGCCTTCGAGTCGAGCGCGGAGCCCTTCTGTGGCGCCTTCGATGGTCCCGACGGACGTCCGCCCGGCCACGTTGATTGCTGGGTCGAACCGGTTTTTGTTCCGACAGAGCCCATGAACCACACGACAGGTGCCGAGCCCAACGAGCCCTGCACAGTGAGCAAAGGGCAGAGCAGGAGGTAGCTTCGTGGGCGATCCGACAGTCTTGGCCCGTACTTTACAAACTTGTTGGAAAGCTAGGCTATAGCCTTATACTAACACACACACACATAACTAAGAGCCTGCGATCGACCCATGTCCATAGGCTGCAGTAGGGCAACGCCGCTGACGGGTGCAGTGATGATGTAGCAACAAGTTTAATCAAAGCCTGGGTGTTGATATCATTCCAGAGGTGTCGCAGCAGCAGCAATAGTCGACAGGCGCGATGATGTGTTACTGTTGTCACTTGCCCGTCTTTACTTCTGCGTTCGCTACTCTGCTACAGCCCGTATAAGAAAAGTCGCATGCGTGAAACCGTTGACTACGGTGCTTTACAATGCTGGTCTCACTTCGCTTATGATTGCACTCCAGGCTGGACCTGCTGGGCATCGGACGTCTTGGCCCCCGAGGAAGGACCCTCGTCCTCGCCGGTTTCGGGTTTTGGTTAGTAGCCTAGTGTATGAGCACCGGACATGGAAGGTTTAAGAATAGGATTAGGGAGCTTGGATTCGAAGTGAAATAATTTTAGATCTTGTTCTCGGTAGTGCCTAAGGACATTCTACAGCAGCACCAGCACGGTACTTATGCAGCACCGTTCTTAAATTCAGATATACCCCATGTTTGGGAGTCGAGCACCCACACACGGTACTTAGGCAGCACCGCTTGCCCTTAGTCCTAAGCTTAAAACAACCTTACTTTAGGCGAGCAAGGCTAGCTCTAAAGTTGTAGGGTACTTTTGCAGCACCCGCACGGTACTTAGGCAGCACCGTCTGCTATTTATCCCTAGCTTAAAACTACCCTAGCTAACTCAGCGAGCAAGGTTAGCTGTAGAGCTCTAGGGTACTTTTGCAGCACCCGCACGGTACTTACGCAGCACCGTCTGCTATCTATCCTTAGCTTAAACCTAACCTAAGCTAACTCAGCGAGCAAGGTTAGCTCTAGAGCTCTAGGGTACTTTTGCAGCACCCGCACGGTACTTACGCAGCACCGTCTACTATTTATCCTTAGCTTATAACTATACGCAGCTAACTTAAGCGAGCAAGGCTAGCACCGTCTTCTAGTCATCCTTAGTTTAAAGCGATCCAAAGCTAGCTTAAGCGTGCAAGGCTAATGCTAAAGCTTCAGGGTACTTTTGCAGCACCTGCACGGTACTTATGCAGCACCGTCTCCTATTTATCCTTAGCCTAAATTCCTAAGCTAACTTAAGCGAGCAAGGCTAAACCTATAGCTTTAGGCAGGGTACTTTTGCAGCACCCGAGCGGTACTTCAGCAGCACCGACTACTACTTATCCTTAGCTTAAAACTATCCTAAGCTAACTTAAGCGAGCAAAGCTAACTCTAGTTTGGGGGGGTGCTTTTGCAGCACCCATACGGTACTTGTACAGCACCGTTTCATTATCGCCCTATATTACTTTATAATCCTAAAACCTCAAAACCCTGAGTCTTAAGCCCAACTTAAAACCGGTAGGGTAGGGCCGGAAACCCTAAATCCAACTAATTAATTCGTTAAAGGCAGCCAAAACCTAATTTAGGACAGGTACTTCGGCAGCACCTTTAAGTGGTACTTCTGCAGCACCAGCTTTAACGTCTAGTTTTAGGTCCTAGGCCCTTTTGGATTAGTGTTCATCGGCGGCTTAAGGCTTAGGGCTTGCAAGGTTAATGGGTTATGGTTTTAAGCTCCCGCTTTTGGTTACAGCTGCCGCTGCTGCAAAGCACTCCTGACGCAGTGCTGCTGGCAAAGTGCCTCATATGATACGGGAGAAGAAACATATATATATATATATACATGTGTACACACACATATATATATATATATATATATATATATATATATATATTTAGAATGTGTGTATGTAAGCATGCATAATATGATATGATATGATATGATATGATATGATATGATATGATATGTTTGTTTGCAGGTTCAGGTTCAATCTTTTGCCCAAAACGAAACTCATCTTCATCGGACCGATCTTTGATTTTGAATCACCTGACCATTCAATCCTTTATGTTTTGTTTGTTTCTTTGGTGCCGTCGTTTGTTTTTTAATATATAGGAAACACGGAAACGAACCAGTTGATTTTTTTGTCGAAAATGCACAGGAACCCGAAAAGGATGATCCCACCCACCAGCCAGCCAAGCCGAAGGCTACCCACCCAAATATATACCTGGGGCAACAGCTCCAAGAACCCAGCCAGAGGTGCTCAACATTGCTGTGTAGATGTTTAATATTCCGGAGTCTGTTTGTGGTTCCGGAGTCTGTTTCCAAGAATCCAGACATGTTTTTTTTTGCACCCAGACGGTTGGGGACGACGACACCGTTGATTTGTCCAAGTTCACCAGCAAGTTCGGCGAGGACGTCTGCAGGAAAAGTTGCGTGCTGGATGTGGGCTGCAGCGCTAGGTGGACAAACTTCAAAGCCGGCGCGGCGCCTTGCTTGACAAAAGCGAGACTGAACAAGGACCCCCTGGATTTTTACATTCCACGTTTGAAACGGCGTTTGAACCTGGGTGAAGCAGCAAGACTGCAAGGTCTGCCCCGTGCTCTGGCCAAAACCCTGGTGAGAGGAACCTCGAAGAAGATCTTTGGAAGTGCTCTGGGGGATGGAATGTCTATCAACGTCCTCTGCAAGGTCTTCCTGGCTGCTTTGCATTGCATCGGATACATTGAGAACGCCAGCGAGCTGGACCCCTGGCAGGAAACAGCTACGGGTTCGAGCCTGGCTGATGCAGCTGACAAAGCACTGAAAAGGCAGATTTCGTGAGGGGCTGTGCAAGACAGTCAATCTCGCTGCTTTCTTTCTGATGGTTTTACCTCGGAAAGGCACCCTGCTCGTATGGTCTTACCTGGGGTGCTCAGTGCTCTGTTTTGAGCAGATGAGAGAGGCAAACTACTTGCCGCACTTTGGTGAGATGCGAAAAAGTAAAAGGACGTCTGATTCGGAATTGAGGTTTTGATGTTTTGAAGTCATCCGTCATGTGACTCAGTATGCCTCGGGTTGAGGGTTTGGGGTCTAGGGTTTAAGGGTTTACGGTTTAGCTTGAACCCTGCCTGCACCATGAAGCTGCTCGAGACTTGCAAGTTACAGTGAGCAACGCGAGGCAGCTGCTGTAGTAGGGATGCCGCCCAAAAAAGCCGTTGTGCTTCCCGATGGGGTTCCGAAGAACTGGAGTGCTTGGAGGTTGACCGCAGGAGACAAGGACTGTTTGGGGTCGGATTTGTTGTTTGGGGTTTACAAGTCTAAGGGTTTTGGGTTTCTCTGTGGCAGGAGGAGATCCAGAAGAAGCTGGTGGAATTTGAGGCTTCCAGCGAGTTCGAGGAACTCCCAGAGGACATGAGAGAAGTGTCTCGCTTTCATAAACAGTATTCCCCGATTCCTTTTTTTTTTTTTGTGCTCAGCTTCAGAGCGAGATGTCAGAGTCGAGTGTACATCTGTGCAGGGCGAGAAGAACAGGAAAAAAGATGAGTTGGAAAGGGATGCCAAGATGGCCAGAGCCAAAGCAGCAAGTGAGAAGAAGCAACAGGCGCTGGATGCTGGTCTTACCGTTTCCGCCCCAAGTGATCCGCTCCCCAAGAAAAAAGCAGCCCCACCTCCTGCACCACTGGACGTGAACAACGCAGACTACTACAAGAATGTCCAGGAAGACCTGCAAAAAATCCTGAAGGTGATGGGGTCTGATTTCGGAAGGCAGCTCGCAGTGCAGATCGCAGCCAAAGACAAAGATGGCGACGGCGGAGTCCAGGATGGATTTCTTGTTGTTAATACTGTAGCCTGGGTTGTGAATTCTTGTTTTTTCATGATCAACATGATGCCAGTAGCATGCACGTTTCCAGAGCGCAGGAGCCATACGACAAGGAGATGTGTGAGCGTGCGATGGGCAACCAGGGCCAGTATGTTGCGGCAGGCAATTTGCTTTGGCTGGACGTGCTCAGAAGTCCTTCGCCAGGGGTTCCACTCAGCTTCCGCACCGTTCAGGAATTGGCGGACTTCCGGTGGCCTGCGGACCAAGAACCCAGTTTCGCACGCGTGTTACTGCAAGTCGTTGGGCCAGTCCCGGGTCATGTACCGGATGTCCCCCAGGCGTTGCAGACGCTGACTCCCGAGGGCTACGTGCATTCAATGCTGCATGCATGCGCCAGGCAGCTGCCAGACCGCAAGGATCGGTGGTCCCTCATCCTGCGATCCGTGCCCTTGTGCTTTGTGAAGGAACCCGAAGATGAGTGGATCGCAAGCTGGAACAATCGCAATGCCATAGCTCAGGATTTTGAGTCCTTAGGAAGAACAGCATTTCAGATGGCCCAAGAGATGAAGCTGCTGAAGAAGCGTTTGGAGAAGGAGGCGAACAGAGCATTGTCAAACACAGATTTTCGCAAATCAAGGAGTCGGGCCTCAAGAAAGCAAGCAGCCAAGATGACCTGTCGACGAATCTCATTTGCACCGCACTTGCAGTGGCTGAGAAACTGACAGGCGAGGAAGTGCTGACAACAATCAGAGATTTGGAAGACAGGTATGGCAGAGGCAGTTGCTTGAATTCCATGCAGAAGCTGCACGCATTGGCGACAAAGACAACTCCAGCCAAAAGGAGCTTTATCTTCCAAGCTCTACGGGACATGATTTTCCGCAACATGCTTGAAAATGATGATGTCAGCAAGTCTTTCCTGGTGGGGGACGGGCACAATACATGCGGTTTCATTGCCCTGACAGAACTGAAGCTGGACTGTTTGGCCCACTTCAAGGCGGTGGTCTTACCCCGAGCCCAGATCCGTGAACAGGACCGCGTCGTCATTGGAGAAGCATTGCTGGACCATACGACATATAACAAAAGAATGCTGGGTGATGACGTGGCTTGGCAGGGCATGCTGCTGGAGTCGAGCATGCAAGCCCTCAGATTTTTAGAGGTGCGTCGGGGGTGGAAAAAACCCTTAATTAGGTCCAAGGCTTGCATTGTAAACCCTAGACCTTATAGACCTTTAAACCTGAACCCGAACATTTTTTTTGCTGAGACCCTAAACCCTAAACCCCTAAACCCCGCAATATTTCTTAGATGCAGCAGGATCTGGTCTACAGCAAGAAGTACGACCATCACCTGAGGCAGCTGGCTAAAGGAAAGAAAAGCATGGAGGAGGTCATGGAAAACGAGGCCCTGAAAGAGAAGTGGGGCCAAATCGAGCAGCTGAGAACAAACGAGCTTGCAGAGGAGAAGGTCAAGCTGCGGCGCGAAGCCGAGCCCGAGGAAACGCCGGAAGACCCAGACCACGGCACGGCCCTGGCACAAATGCGGAAGCCAGCAAGCAATTTCACGGAGGAGAGCGAAGGCTACTGGTTGGCGGTGGCGAATGAGATGGTGAGACGTTTTGTCAGTTTCATGGTTTTACCTGAGACACAAAATCAAATGATGCAGCTTGTAACACAGTCCGTGCTCAAAGACGTGGAGGTGGTGGCAGGCTCTACGTGTCTTGCCTGAGAATTTTTTTCTGCAATTAATGTCGTAGGCCAGAAAATTAGAAACGGTTTAATAGGGTTAGTTTAGGGTTTAGGGGTTTAGGGGTTTAGGGTTTAGTGTTTTCCATCTCCTTAGGTGCTGCTGCTTGTGGATGGACATGGACCTCCTGGGTGAGTCGTGCGGTGGTCCACTTGCACAGCGCGGCTTGCGTCGTTCAGAGCCCTTCGAGGTAGGCACGTGGAAGTCGCTTCTTCATGGAGCCCTCCTCGCACGCGGAGCGCAGCAGAAAAGCGATCAGGGTGAAGCGCCAGTGCCGTGCGAGACAGACATGGTGCTCATCCACTCAGGTGGACGGCCGGACATTCTAACATCCGCACGGCAGATGTTCCGTTTGGAGAAGAGCAAGCAAGTCGTGAACACGGATGCTTGGGAGAAGAAAATCGGAGTTGTTTTCAATGAAGAAGGCATTCGGCAACGAAAGAAGCGCATCAAAACCAGCGACGGCTACAGCCAGCAAACGGATGTGTTTGCGTACACACAGAAGGGGTGTGTGCCAGAAACCTTTCCTGAACGACGCAGGAAGCACTACAGCGGGTATAACACGGGCGACGTCATTGGTTGGGTTGACTGCGTTGGATCAGACGACCTGTGGGTGACCAGCAGGTTTGGACTCAGCCCTGAAAACCGAAAACCCTCAACCCCAACCCTGAGTCTCTAAGTAAGGAGCCTTTAAGCCCCCCAGGCCTTCAATAACACCCAAATATTCCATGCCTGAGGTAAGCCCTAAATCCAAGCCATTGCTTCACAATTGCCAAATTGTATGGCTGTTGTGCAGGCAGGAAAAGGAAGAAATTCTCGGACAAAGGGGGATCCTCAAGTTGAGCGACAAGGAGAAGATTAGCGACTTTCCGGCATTGAGATTTTTTAGCAGATATGTGTTATTATGTATTTGTATTCTCAGCAAAGGCCTTCTGCAAGACACGAAACTGGGCGAGGAGGTGAGCACCGTGGAGTCTGTCTTCCCGTCCGCAAAGTTGCCCACCAAATTCCATCTGGAGACACTCTGGTCGTACTGCGTGTCCTGCGCAATAGATTTCACACCCGGGCAGGGTGATTTCCTGCGAGCCTGTGTGGAGTCGAGGACGCCCGTCCTATGCTTTGGTCTGACAGAGACGCACAACAAGTGTTTGGAAGAGCATCTGACAAAATGGGTTGTGAAGTGCATGGCGACAGAGGGAAGTAGTCTGCACCGCAAAAATGCCAAGGACGTCCTTGAGAATCTGAAGAAGCGCCCGCTCCATGCTGGCGCTGACAATGGCAAGACCAATACCGAGGACGAGCCCACAGAGAAGAAGCCCAAAAACGGAGAGCCGAAGACCAAACCGAAGCCAAAGGACTCCAAAAAGAAAGACAAGTCCTCTGAGAGTGTCGAGTCCGCCAAGAAGACTAAGAAAAAGGGCAAGAAGAGCAAGAAAGCTACCAAAAAGAAGAAAGAGGAGAGCTCCTCGTCTTCCAGTGAGGAGCCATGGTAGACAAGTCCATGAGGCCTGGGCTCAGCACCTAGTCTTACCGGATTGCGTTTTTTGCTCAGGCGGATCCTGGCATTCCCTTCAGGGCTTGCGTTTTGCGTGGTCTTACCCGCAAGACTGACATCCGTGATTGCTGCAGGCAGAGCAGCAAGTTTTGCACGGTCCCAATCGGAGACCCTTTTCGTATAACCCAGGCCCTTGCAAGGCACGAAACCTAAGATAGATGCAGACTCTTTACATACATAGTCTTCCCGCCCTGTGCCCTGTGAGGCCTGCCTTTTGCTTAGGTGCCAAAGCCTGATCAAGGCCATGAGGCCTTGCGGATCAGTTGCAGAACAGCGCATCATTGCGCCAGAACAGGTTTTGTACAGGCTCAGCAGCGTGCCGGATGTGGCTAGAGAGGCATGGCAAAAAGGAGGCAGGAAACCCAATACCCTAAACTCTAAAACCTAAAACCTTAAACCCTTATTCTAAACCGTAAACCCTAAGGCCTGGCAACACACTTAAAGAAGTTTAAACTGACCCCACGCGAAGACCTGTTGCCCCTATGAACTTTGGCTTTTGCACGCGTGCAAGCATTTGAGGCAGTCGTTGGGTGTCATGGTTAGGGTTTAGAGGTTCGGTTCAGGGTATGGCTCTGTAAACTGTGCAATGCCGTGCAACGCCAACCTGGTTCAATGGCATCAACTGGAACACACATGGAGATTGGCGCCGGTAGATTTGCCAGGTAATACCATTGGCTCGGCTGCAGGGCCGAACAATAACATCATTTAGACAACCTGAAAGCCCCATGAGTTCAAGGTTCCAGCGCCCGGAAACCGAAAATCAAAAAGTGAGGCCATTGCTCTTGCGAAGCCCACGACACATTTTTCAAAGAGCTATTTAATGTTTCTTGCGAGTCAGCAGATAGCAATGAGTGCGGTAGATTTTAGATTTTACTAGCCAGGGGCGTGGATCCACAAACTTGCAAGAAATTGCCCTGCAAGGGGTCCACAGCCGACAAACTGGCAGCTGTCTAGAAGCATGGAAAGATTGTGTACCCACCTGTTTCAAACAAACAACGAATCTGGAATATCAAGTAAAAGTTCAAGAAAATACAGACGATGAGATACGGATACAGATGTTCGAGCAGGGGTGTGGCGCCACAGAATACTTGCATGGGGCCTTCCTGGCCGTGCCGAACATGCAAGGGGCCCACATCTCTCGCACTGCTCTGTTCTACAACATCATCTGGCTCCTCAGCCCCGATGCCTTGTCTAACCCCTAACTCCTGAGACCCTTACCCTGGAGGTACAGTTGGTCGGACGCACCGACTGCAACTTAGAGCATTCGGACTTTCTTCACCCGCTGCACGATAGAGTTTGTCTACATGAGGAAACGTTGGCAAAATGAACAGGATGCAGGGTAAGACCACGGCATCTCACATTGGTGAAATGAACCTGATGCAAGGTAAGACCACCGCATCTCACCAGTATACTGGCATGAAGCTTGCGCTCCTCGCTGACAATCTGCCGCTGCAAGTCGAGTCGTCATGAAAACGGCACAGGATAGACCTCCACAACTCAGTAATACCAGGAAACTTGAGCTGTTTGAGCTTGAGTTTTTTTCCTTTCCTTCCGTCGGGCTTGACGACATGCGTTTCGGCTGACATAAGCATGGTGATGCTCAGATGCAGTTTCTTTTGGGGCCACAGCCGTCTTGGCTTTCGCTGCTATCAAGCTTGGGGGTTTAGCAGCAGGCCCAGGTGTTGAATTCACAGCGGAGCCGGATGAACAGCTAGCCCCCGTGCAGGAATTGTGGTTGCTTGCAAAGTTGGCGACCTGCTCTTGTGGGATCGGTGCGAAGTTGTCGGAATGTGTTTCAACTGGCACGGGTAAGACCACGGTGCCCTCTTGTCCTTGATTGTCGGTCTTCTTTTTGAATGGGCTTGGAGCAGCTCCACACTGCAAGCCTCTCTGTATTTCCTCTTCATGCGCGTGGAAGTAATGTTTCAAAAAAACTCGTGGATCAGACCGATTCTGCAGCTCCATGATTACATGTTGCGACGGCTTGGCGCTCTCCAGCGATTTGTCGCTGTTGAACAGCAGGAGAGCAGCGCTTGTGTGTCGGGTGGCGCCATGAACAGTGACTCTGTTGCCTCGACATCTAACACTCGGGTTCCACCTCCTTTCGTGGTTTGTGAGATCATACATCACCTGCCGTACACGATCCAAAGCACCCCATACCGTTTGCCTTGCCATGGTTGCTCGGCAACCCTTCTTTTTGGATTCCGACGGAAAGATGTGGTCTGAATTTCCCCAGTCAGGTTTGAAAGTTTGCTGTCGCATCGGGGTAAGACCACCACCTTTCTTGCCTTGGAAGACTGTTGGGTGGGTTGTCCGGTATGGTTCTAAAGCTGGCAAGCATTGCCAATTTAAGCCTTCCTCTTTCATTCGGGTCAGCCCGTCCACTGCTTCGTCTGAAAGTCTGGCAACAACTCTTTCCTCGGGCAGCTTTCCGTTTCCTTGATCGCCTTCTGCGCGTTGAAAGAGAATGTGGGGCGAATCATGATCCTCGCCACCGCGCAGGCGAACATCTGAACCTTTGAGCAGCGCTGTTTCCCCAATCCTCCTCGACGTGACAAGAGTTATCCACAGGACAGCGCAATAGGAGGGACCAGCGAAGTACAGTGCCACCGCAAAAAAAAGCGGTAGCTGTTCGCGAGGGATAAACACGTGCTGCTTGCTTGTTTTGCTGTGTTTGCGGCCCTTATTCCAGGCAGGTGGGCGTTTCTTCGATTTGGAAGTCACAGGCCGAGCCTGCTTGCGGAGGGCAGGCTGCTGTGGACTTTGGGCCTTGCGTTTCTGCCTGGTGATCCTGGGTATGACCGCGGGCTTTGCAGTAACCTTAGCCTTTGGCTTTTGCCTGGTCAGCCCGGGTAAGACCACAGGCCTCACAACAGCTGCGGGTTCACGAACTCTGACTTGCGCGCCACTCCTTGGTGCCATTGCAACGGCAAGAGAGGGCTTTTGTGCTCAACCCCAAGTGGCTGCAGCAGACACACAAGAATGACCAACTTACCGATGGCGGGGTGGCAACTTACCGAAGGGTGGGTCGGTAAGTTGGAGCCTTTTGGGGAGCCTTTTAGAGCCTTTTGGGGAGCTTCTGGATTTTTCGGAGCCTTTTCGGGGAGCCTTGGGCTGCTTGGGGGGCCTGCTTTCTCAACTTCTGCTGTTTTTTGCACAAAAACCCTTAGCCCCACCCTACCCTACCCTACCCAACCCTACCCAACCCCAGCCTAACCCAGCCCCATCCAACCCCCTACCCGAACCCAACCCTACCCAACGCCCAACCCTAACCCTACCAACCCTACCCAACTTTTCTCAAGTCATGCCGAAACTGAGCTTACCCCTGAACCCTAGACCCTAAAACCCTAAACCCCTAAATACCCTAAACCGAGGCTCAAGCTTGAGTGCAGACGATTTTGCGTCGCGCGGCCGTCTCTGCATTAAAGTTACCACTCTTCCAGGCGATGAGGTAAGACCATCATCGCATGCGGCCAGGGGCAATGAGGTAAGACCATCAGCGCTGCTGCGAGTGTCTGAAGCTTTCGCTCCACTCATGCCAGCAAAAGCGCAGGGGCATGTCTTCCGGCCTCAGATGGGAGACCGGCATGTTGTGTGGGGTGCAGCGCGTCAGCGCATGAAAACCCCAGTCTCCCAACGGGATGTTGACCACCCTACCCAGCACTCTTTTTACATCATCCAACGTCCAGTTGCTGTCTGCTCCGAGTGTCAAAGTACCGTAACTGGGCACATCGGTCACTTCCACACGAAGGACACCTGAGCCTGGGGTAAGACCACCAGGTCCAGGATTTGCGGCACTTCTGCTTTGCCCTGGGGTAAGACCACCAGGATTCACGATATGGGCAACCACGCCTTGCAAAACCACGCCTTGCAAAACCATGCCGGAGGAGGATGGGTGGGCTGACATTATGTCAAAAAAAGCTATGATAGCCTCTTTTTCAGGAAATGATTGCTTTGATCAGGAAATGGCTGCGGCATGCAAGACGAAACTGCCCACCCCCACTGCCACTACACTCACTACACACATCGTGCCAGGAGCCTTTTGGGGAGCTTCGGGGCTGCTCGGGGGCGTTGGAGACTTTTCGGAAGCCTTTTGGAGCCTTTTGGGGGCTGCTTTCGCTGCTTCGGGGCGTTTTGGAGCCTTTTAATGAGCCTTTTGGAGCCTTTTCGCTGCTTCTGGGCTGCTTCTTTGGGCCGCCTTTCACCCAACCCAACCCTACCCAACCCTACCCAACCCCAACCCAACCCTACCCCAACCCTACCCTACCCTACCCAACCCTGCGCAACCCTACCCAACCCTACCCAACCCTACCCAACCCAACTTTTCTACAACAAGTCATGCCGAAACTGAGCTTAGGGAAGCCTGACAGCCGCAGATTTTGCCTCGCGCGGCCGTCTCTGCGTGAAAGTTCTTCCAGGCGATGAGGTAAGACCATCATCGCTGGCGGCCAGGAGCAATGAGGTAAGACCATCACTGCTTCTCTCCAGATGAGGTAAGACCATCAGCGCTGCTGCGAGTGTCTCCAGCTGTCTGTCCACTCATGCCAGCAAAAGCGCAAGGGCATGTCTTCCCGCCTCAAATGGGAAACCGGCATGTTGTATGGGGTGCAGCGCGTCAGCGCATGAAAACCCCAGTCTCCCAACGGGATGTGGACCTCGTTGGTTGCTATCACCCTAGCCAGCACTCTTTTTACATCATCCAACGTCCAATTGCTGTCTGCTTCGAGTGTCAAAGTACCGTAACCGGGCACATCGGTCACGGTCACTTTGACACGGCTGGTTAGGGCAAGGACACCTGGGGTAAGACCACCAGGTCCAGGATTTGCGGCACTTCTGCTTTGCCCTGGGGTAAGAACACCAGGATTCACGACTTGGGCAACCACTCCACGCAAAACCGTGCTGGAGGACGGGTAGGAGGACATAGCTTATTTCAGGAAGTGGCTGCTTGAACTTGATCAGCTTTAACTTGATCAGGAAATGGCTGCGGCATGCAAGAAACTGTCCGCAAAAAAATGCATCCACTGACTGCCGCTTGCTGTGGAGTTTTTGAGTCCATCTACGACACTACACACTACATCACCACGGCACACAACCCCCCACTGCATCCACTGACTGCCGCTTGCTATGGGGGATTTTGAGTCCATGTACGACACTACACTCACACTACACACTATATCACCACGGCACACAATTCAAGAACGACAGCTGGCTTCAAAGGGAAGATGAGAAAGGCAGTTTGGCAGTTCGGCGCACCATTTTCAACGGCGCTGCGCAGCTCCGACCCCTATCACACTTCAGGCCCGGTGTGACACAAAAGTGACACAAACGGCCTATTATTCTGAAGTTTTTCGCGCCGCGTGCGCACATGGATGAGGTAAGACCATCACCACACGCAGTCACCTCCCGCATGAGGTAAGACCATCACCAAACGCAGTCGCCTCCTGGATGAGGTAAGACCATCATGGCCGGTCACTTCAGAAGACTTGAGACTTTCGCAGAGCCTTTCAGACACAGCAAACGGCCAGCTTCTGTAGTATACTGAACCCTTCCCTTCTCTAATATGGTGAGTCCGTCCATCTTCTCCTCAAGGTTCCGGCGCAACTCGCAAACTCTCATTGATGTAGTTGCCTTGACGGAAGCCCAGCGCCGCCCAGACATGCGACTCATGATAACTTTCACTTCCCTGTTCATGCGCCGCCGAAACCTCAAGGACACAACAGTTTGCCCAACAGACTCCACCAAGATGTTGCCACCACGTGGATGGTGCAGCAGCCACTGCTGACAAGTACTTGTCCTAAGTGTAGAGCTCACTGAGAACATCAGTGCGCCACCGCCCCGCTTTACACGGAAAGGGATGGTTTTCCTCCGGCCTCTCCAAGTCAAGGAAGCGAAAAGACCTGCCCTATCACAGTTTTGCACCCTCAAGAAAGAGTGAACATCAGGTCTTTCGTGTTGACAGAGAGGCAACCCATCTCGTTTCCGAAGACCCCTCCATCTGCATGGACCAAATTGCAGTAGCGGGAAGTCGGCGTCATCATCAGCCATTGCAAGAAACACAAAAGCTGAAGAACCAGCCATGCGCAGCAACGGCTGCGGCAACGCTCGTTGATTGAAAGAAAAAAGGGTTTAGGGTTTAGGTTTTAGGCGAAACCCTAAAACCCTAAATCCTTAACCCTACACCCAAAACCTTCAACCCTAAAACCCTAAACCCTAAACTCCTAAACTTCCCTCCACAGACCACCCAACCACCCATTGCCAACCCCACCCCATGCCACAACAACCCAAACCCAAAACCTTCAACCCTAAAACCCTAAATCCTAAACTCCTAAACTTCCCTCCACAGACCACCCAACCACCCTAAACTTCCCTCCACAGACCACCCAACCACCCATTGCCAACCCCACCCCGTGCCACAACAACCCAAACACATCCACACATACCGCCCCCTGCCAGCCAAAACACACCCTAGCAGCCTCCCCCCCATACTACAACAACCCCAACAGCCCCCACAAACCCCCCCCCATTCCACCAACAGACAACCCAGACAGACCCTAGCAGCCACCAGGGCCCCAAAACAGCACACCCAGCACACCCGCATAACATCGGCAAGGACTGCGCTTTTGCATGGATGCTCGGCTTGCAAGCCGACCCGCCGGGCGGCCTGTACCAAGACGTTCCTGGGTTGCCAAACCCAGCGGCCCGTGCCTTTTCGCCGCTAGCGGATCAGAAGTGGGTGACCATAGCGCTTTCCTTCCTGAAAGAAGTCGAGACGATCACCGCTCGCAGGGGAGAGCTTGCTCCACCTGCGTTGCCAAAGCCGGCTGCCGAGGAACAGCTCTCGAAGAAGCAAGCCCGAGCCGCCGCCTGGGCGGCAAAGCGGGCAGCAGCCAGCAAGTGACGCGAGAGGGGGGCGTCCCTCGTGTTCCGACGCCCGCCCCTCTGCACGCCAGCCACCCGGTTGAGGACTCACCTTTGCGACCGGGCCGGGAATTCAGCTTTTGCCTTTGGGCTTCTTCTTTGGTCAGATTGGTTCTTAAAAGTGGGACCGCCTTTGGCCGATTTTTGGGTACCACATTGCCCTTGTGCCGCGACCCCGATTTGGAGGTCGCCACCGCTCTCTATCCGCTTCCCATCCCTTTTGAAGGCTTGTTCCAGAAGCGGTCCCGAAGGCGCAACGTGAAAAGGCGGCGGACTCACCTGATCAAGGTAGTGGTCTTTACGGTGGTGATGTCCCTCAACTTCCTTCACTCAGGCGGGAAGCACATTCCCCACCTTTTCCTTCGGAGGCCCCCCTCCTCTGCCCAGAGTTCTGCTTTCGGCCACCTGGAGGAACTTGTGAGAGCGAGCGCCCGGCTCGGAGGCGAATGCATCCAGTCTGGGCGACGAGGACTACAGCTTGCTGCGCGTCAGGCTGAGGTCCTTCACTTTCTTCGGGCCGCCGGGCTCGATGAGGATTGCTATTTTGCCAAAGGCGCTCGTGCCGCCGATGTGCCGGAGTTTGCCGAGGATTTCGTGCCACATATGCCGGGCGGGCCGGCCGAGCTTAACCCCTATCGGGACTTGGATGCCGAGCGCATCACAAGGCTCACTTGCCCTGCCTACAGCCATGCCTTATATGGTTCGTGTGTTGACAGGCGGGACTTTTACCACCAAGCGCGGGTTTCTAATGCGATAGGGCCGGTTTTCTGCCTTAGAGATTTCTACGGCGCCCAAGCCTATATCGACTTTCTGGCTGGAGCTGACTCCGCCTTCAGGGCCGGTACGCCCCTTGGGTCGTGGAAGCTTCCCTCGCCCCTTCTTGCCGACAGCAAGCTCCTTGTGCATGGGAGCTTTAAGAGCATCCTGCAGGGCGATCACGCCGGTGTTGAATATGCCTGTGCGGGCCATGAGGGCTTGCTGCGAGCTGCTGGGGTCCTGGGTGATGTCGTTTGATCAGCAGGTGTCCGGTTGCCACCAGTGGCCCCTGGACGGGCCTCATTATCGACGACCTCTTCTGCATCTCGTGTGAAAGGGTTGCTCCGCAGGCTGGCCAAGGAAGCTTATGCCAGGGAAGGTGTGCCGGGATCAGACAACAAGGATGTCTTCAGCCATAAAAACCTTTACTGTTGCTGGTGCTCAGGTTGATGCCTCCGCCGAAACGGTCGCCTCGGGCAAGGTGCTTGTCGGTTTGCCGGTGCCTCGCCGCCTTGCCCTTTCGCAGGCCTCTCTCCTTGTTGCCCAGGGCAGGTGGATTTCAGAGGAGCTTGCCTCCATACTGGTCGGCTGCTGGGTAACTGCCCTCATGTACCGCAATCCCCTGCTCTTTGCTCTTGGGAAGAAGGAACCTTGTGCTGGTGGGTCCAGGCTCCGTCCTCTACCTCCTGCGGCCAGGCAGGATCTCGCCGTGCTTGCTGTGTTGGCTCCGGTGATGGTCTGGCCGCGCCTTTCAGCTCTGTTGTCGGGTGCTCTGACGCCTCCACTGCTAGAGGAGCCACTTGCGAGGCCGAGGTACCCCCGTTGTCGTTGAGCACCTTTGGCAGACCGCCGACCAGAAGGGCTGGTACACTCGCTTGGCTGCCGAGCCTGAGGACACCGATGAGTGCATTGCTTCGGAATCCCGTCCTGAGCGGCCGGTTGCTTCTCGCTATGACTTCCTTGAGGTTTGCTGGGGCGGGCCTTGGCTTTCGGTCCTGCTCTCAGACCGCCTCTGCGTTGGGCCGGTGGTGGACTTTCATGCTTCCCCTTTCTTTAGCATCGTCGACCCTCGCTGCCTCGAGTGGATCCTTTACATGCTGCAGGAAAGGAGGCTCAAAAGCGTACTCGTGGTCCCCCCGGTTGGCTCCTTCTCTCCTGCCTTCCAGCCTCGCCTGCGCTCCTGGGACCCTCACCACCGGGCCTCCTGCCACCCTCGCCTTCGGCGCGAAAATGCAATCCTCAATGCAGCCATCTGCATCCTCCTTGTCGCGTCCAGGTGCAACGCCTACGCCCTCCTCCTGCATCCTCTCCTGAGCTTTGCCCGGAGCCTGCACCCGAAGGGGCGCTGTCGAGCGGTTGCCCTTGTCGCTGCCCCCGGCGCCCATGACCTCGCGCCCTTGATCTCCAAACCTCGTGCCGGCCCTCCCTCCTTTGCAAACGTGCTGGCAGACAGCCTCGCGGCTCTGGTGAGACAGGCTTCCGACCAGCCGTCGCCAGCCCAGGGCCTAGAAGGCATCCTCTTCAACGATGTTATGTTGACCTCTCGTTGGAAGGTCCGCCGCTCTTGGCCTTGGCGTGACCATGTGCACATCAACTTGCTGGAGGCCCGCTCCTTTCTGTGCGCCCTCCGTGATAGGGCTCGGGCCGGCTTGAGCAGTCGTTTTGTGCACGGGCTGGACTCCTATGTCGCTTTGGGCGCACTGCAAAAAGGCAGGACCTCCTCACAGCGGCTTCTCCCGGTGGTCAAGCAGTCGGCTGCGGTTCAGGTTGCTTTTGATCAATACCCTGGCCTACTTTTCAGCCCCACGAGGCTGAACACTTCCGACGATCCGACTCGATCGGTTGCCCTGCGTGCACCGGTCCCTGCTTCTCTTTTGACGGGCCTGCCTTCAGAAGACCTCTACGGACTGGCTTGCCTTGGTGGACTTTCGCGTGCCTCTGCAAATCTCGTGCGCCTTGTGCTCCTGTACTTCAGTCTTCGGACAGGGTCTGGCTGCGGTTCTTTAGTTAGGTCCCTAACCCTTAGGCCCCGCGACCTGCTGCCTTTGCAGAGCTTGACTTCACATGCTTGTGATCCGGTCGTTGCCCTTGACTTCGACAGCACTCTTGGCTATCCTGGGGAAGGACCTTCTCAGCAGAACTGGCGTGCAGCAGCTGATGGCGGCCTCCAACCTCGTGACGTGCGGGGTGCATCTCGTGCTCTAGCGCGGCAAGGCCTTGAGCTCGGGGAGGGCCGCCCCATTCTTGATCGGACTTCGAAGAATCGACAGCAGCTTCTGGAGGCCTTTGACCAATGGTTGAGGAGCTGCGGTTTTTCTTTAGAGGACCTGCTTGGAACAAGGCCCCTGGATCCAGAGAACATTGCAGCATGGCTGGTCGCATACGGCAGGCAACTCTTTGGAGCAGGCAGGCCGTACTGGCACTACAGTGAGTCTATCAATGCAGTTGCCGCTTTGCGTCCGGCGATCCGCAGGTCTTTGCAGGGAGCCTGGGACTTGGCTTTCAGCTGTGCAAAGGAGCCTGCCACACACCACGTTGCCATGCCTCCGGTTGTATTGCTTGCTTTGCTCTGCACCTGTCTCTTCTGGGGCTGGTTGCGAGAGGCAGGGATTTTCGCGATGAGCTGGGGAGGTTTGCTTCGCATTGGAGAGGCCACCGCCACTACGAGACAAAACTTGGTCCTCCCAGCTGACGTTCTTTTTTCGCATGCATATATCCTGGTACGGATCGAGGAGCCGAAGACCAGAATGAGGATGGCAAGGCATCAGAGTGCTCGCATAGAGCATTCTGATCTTGTCGACCTTGTCACACTTGCTTTTAAAGACGTCGAGCGGGGGTCCAGGTTGTGGCCACAGTCTACTCAAACCTTGAGGCGGCGCTTTGACCTCGCTTTGGAGCGGATTGGTTTACCAACACAAAGGCGGGGCACTCGGCCTTTGGACCTGGGTTATTTCAGGCCGGGAGGTGCCACGCACCTCATGGTTACCACAGAGGACAGTGACCTGGTACGCACAAGGGGGCGTTGGGCCTCACAAAAGGTGATGGAGATCTACATACAAGAGGTTGCGGCAAGCCTTTACTTCCCTTCCTTACCACTTGAGCTGCGGCAACGGATCATGGACCTCGCCCAGGCTTTTACTTCAGTACTGGAGCAAGTGAAGGAATGGAAGAACATTGGTGTGCCTCCTTCTTCTTGGTATGCTATGTTCACAGCCGGCAAGCGGCCAAACTCTGGCTAATATGGGTGGGAAATACGGGAACTCTGCCTAGGCATTTGCTGATGAGCTGGATGGTAAATTCCCAGCGGCTTCTACGAAGCATGTATCCGGCATTGCCAGTGGATGAATTCCTTGCATGAGGGCAAAAGAGATTCGTGAGCTTCTGACACTTAGAAGCGAATGATGAAACGTTGCTCCTCTCAAGATCTTCAGCAGCCCCTCCCGACCCGCCCGAGGCTGCGGCTGGGAACTCTGCCTAGGCATTTGCTGATGAGCTGGATGGTAAATTCCCAGCGGCTTCTACGAAGCATGTATCCGGCATTGCCAGTGGATGAATTCCTTGCATGAGGGCAAAAGAGATTCGTGAGCTTCTGTTTTGTTTCAGGAATGTTTTCGGAGCTTGCGAATCTCTACACGTGACATGCCTACATGCCTTCGTGTAGTCTGGCTCTAGCACTTGCAGTTCTCGAAAAGCCCCGCCCGTCCACACCTTCAGCCTGCTGCCTTGCCAGGTATAGGAGCTTTCAGCGCTGCCGCGGCGCGCCAAGAGCCGTGGCTATCGGTTGCAAAGCTTTTCGATAGCCTCTCGCCCTAAGGTTGCACAAGCCAACCCCAGGATCTAGCCCTAGATTCACGCTCGACAGCCTTTGCCTTTGCCTCGGAAGCCTTCTTGCTTTGCCTCACACTTGTCATGTCCCGCAGGCCGTCCTCCTCTTCCGCATCGGCCGCCTGCTGCACAGCCCTGCCCCCCTCGGGTTCCCCTCCCTAACCCCTGCGCTCAGGTCCGGCACTTCGGCGACTCTTACGCCATTTGACGCGCCTTCTGAGTGTTCACACGGCCTTTGCTTGTCTCACGCCATGGGCCGCCTCGGCCTATTTGCCTCACCGGTGCGGCTCCCGGTACTGCTACAGCCCTCAGCCTCTAGGGTCAAGCCTTGCCAACAGCCATCACACGCTGCAGTGTGGCATGTAGCTTTTTGCTGCCTTAGCATTTGCATTAATTCCAGACGATTGCACGCCTTTTTCATTCGTCTTCTCACAAAGACTAGCCGAGGGGGTATTTTCCTACTTGACCGATCATGCCCGTTTTGCATCGGTCCGCCTTCGGCTAGCCGCATTGCCCACAGATCCAACACGGAATAAAGACAGCTGAAGTGCTAGAGCAATGCAAGCCTACCTAAAACTGTACGGCTTCGTTTTCTGGGCGACTTTACGGTTTGCTTAACCTCGTTTTAGGGTTTCATCTTGGGGACAACTTTCGGGCTTCATCTCCGATGAGAAACGATGCGGAGGCTTGCTCTGCCTGCAACCTTCATAAACGGCCGCTTGTTCGGCATATCTGGCTTAGCGCACATCCACGCACAGCAGGAATGCGGGTTACGGTGCCTGAATTGTGACCATTCGGTTCTCCTGCATCGGCTGTTCGGAGTTTTCCTCACACGGTTTGACTGGATTTCTGACTTCTGGTGATTCCCGAATCCCGATTCCGAATTGCCCTTGGCAGTTTCCGAATGTTGTTTCTGCTTTTCCCGTCGCACGAGAAACAGGAGCAAACTTTTCGAGATTGACCGCGCCGTGAGCAGACTGCTCGAAAGGGATCCGAGATTTTGGAACATTTACGACAACCGAGACGAACCAGTGGAGAGGAGCTACAACGGAGAGACGCAAGCCAGCCGTTCGAAAAGGCTAACGCTCGATATTGATTAGATGCGCCATTGGAGCAGAAGGGCAGGGATGTAAACAAGGAACAAACCGCTCGAAAGGGATCAGAGCGTTTGAGAGAGGGAGCAAACAGCTAAACAGGGGCTGGAACATACGAGAAAAAGGAGCAAACCATTCGATCGTTTGGGAAAAGAGTGTGTGTGGTCTGTGGGTCTGGCGGTAGGGAGCAGAGCCTGCAGAGCTTTTACGAAAAGGGCTCAAAGCACTTGTGCGATTGATAAAAACAAACCTTTCGAATTGGACCGGGGCGATTGAAACGAAGATGCAAACCGGTCGAAATGGACTAGAAAAGCAGGAGCAAACCGCTCGATTCGTACTAGCCGGAACACTACAGAGCTTGAAAGGCAGGTTGAGAGGTCGATGGAAAAGAACAAACCGCCCGAAAAAAGGGGTTGAGATACGGGAGCGGGCCGCTCGAAAGGGACAGGAGCATTTGAGAAACAGGAGCAAATTGTTGGACCAGATCATTTTTAAGAAAAGTTGGCTAACCGCTCGACAGGGATCGCCCAAGAAGGATGGGAGCACTAGACTCGAAAAGGAGAAAGAGGTGCAAACCACACCATGTGAGAGAGAAGAGCAAACCGTTCGAAAAGGACTACAGCATTTGAGAATGATGAGCAAACGACGCGAAAGGTAGGAGAACAGTTGACCAGAAGAAGCAAGCCACTCGAAGGGCGCAAACAGAGCAAACTAAGAGCAGGTGTCACTCGCTCGAGATCGACAAACATCGACAAGGGGTAGAACGCTTGAGAAGAAGGAGCTAGCTCAAAAGGGAGTAAGGCATGTGAAAAAGAGAGGCAAGCTGTTCGGAAGGGAGTAGGACGCGTTAGAAGAAGGACTTGAACCAAAGAGGATCCAACCGCTCGAAAGGGATCAGAGCAATTGAGAAGAAGGAGCAAATCGGTCGACATGGACTGGAGCACTTGAGAAGGTGGAGCCGACCAATAGAAAGACCAAGCTGCTCGAGAAGGGTTCAAGCGATTGTGTACAAGACGCAAGACTCGAAACGTATTATAGAGCATGCAGAAGAAAAGGTGCAAACCGCTCGGACGCGACTAGAGCATTCAGAAAAAGAGCAAACCGGCCGAACAGGTTGCTACTTGCCCGAAAAGGAGCAAACGTCAGAAAGGCGAACCGCTCGAAAGGGACTCAGCATGTGACGAGCAGGCTTTAGCCGCCTGACCTCCGGAGGGTGTCCAGTTTCACCGGGATGGGAAAGCAACGTGCCGAACACGACGGTAGCAAATGTCCCATTCTCGGTCAGGTTTGCTTCGAACCCGGCGCATAGGCCCACTTAAGGTGTAAAGAGGGTGTGCATCGAGTAGTCAGCTTACAACAGGCTCCTACAGTCAAAGCAGGCCACTTCGATGTAGAGCTTTGCTTGTTGTCTTCGTGGCAAGGCACTTCCAGATGACGACCTTTGCTACGAGAATGCCATCATCATGCGGCGATTCTTGCGATATCCGTTAATCATCGACCCCTCGGGTCAAGCGATTACTTTTCTGAGCAACGAGTTCAAAGACAAGAAGCTCCTGAAGACATCCTTTGTGGCAGCTTGGACTTGAAATGATCTTCTCTGCCACTTGCAACTTAGCTGTGCATGCTGTAGGGCTCGAAAGCGAAAATGAGGAGAACAGCTTTATGAAGAGCCTGGAGACCGCGCTTCGCTTCGGAGCCCCGCTCATTGTGATGGATGTGGACAAGGTGGATCCTATCCTCAACAATGTGCTCAACCGGGAGACCCACAAAAGCTGCTGAACGGCAACTACGACGAGCTGCGAACAGTGCGAGTGGAAACCCTGAGCTCTCGCACCGGCATCTTGAGCATGCGAACCCAGTTAAAACCTTTAGGATTTGGAAAGTCCAAGGGGCATAGGAAAGCAACAGTCAAGGCGGGCCGCGGGTGCTGATCACTCTCGGCGATCAGGACATCGATTTCAGCCCCGCCTTTGAGACACTTGGCTCAGAGTGGCTTAGAACCGCTCTTCTCCCGTCTGATCCATCTGAGGATGTACATGTGCACCCGCGACTCCACAGCACAATTCACGCCTGACCTTTGCAGCCGAGCCACGGCCTCAGCTCTGGTCTGTGCTCTTGGGCCTTCTGTTCGGACTGTCGCTCTGTGAATTCAATGCTGTGAGGTGACCTTCGTGAACTTTACTGTGACACCGTCGTCGCTGCAGAGCCAGTGAGCGTCTCAGTGGACGCTCTGTGCCATGCGACCCTGCCCCGGAGAGCGCTAACCTCCTCTTGAGGTGCATGAACGCACTGCTGAAGTCCGAGCGGCCGGATGTGAGACACTCGCCACCACACAGAAGCCAAGTGCAGCGTGGCCCTGTTGCCGCCTTCCCAGGTTGACCGAAAGCGAGAGGACCAACTGAAGCTCCAGGGGGAGTGCAAGGCAAAAGCCGCGCAAGCTGCCAGTCTCCTTCAAAGAGTCTGGGACTCGAAAGGTGAAGATGCGCGAGCTGGAGGATGCGGAAATCCTGTGAACACTTTCGTGCAGAAGGCTCGGACCCGTCTGCTGCCGGGCGTGCTGTTGTGAGGAGCACCTTCTCCATGCCTTGTCGAACGTCGAAGGCTCCATCTTGGAGGACTCATTGGTTTTAGCTTCGGACCGGTGAAGTAGCGGAGCGAACTTCTAGGACGAGAAAGTCATCGCGACCCTCGAGAAGATCAAGAAGGAGTCATCAGAGATCCAGGACTCATCCCGACCTGCAGGCGTTGAAGGTCTTCGAGGTTTCGTGGTTTTTGCTAAGGAGAAGCTGGGCCAAACGGATGCGATCATGCAGGACATCGGCTTGTGTTTTGGAGATTAAGATCTGTTTTGCTCGTCCGACAGCCACAGGCTTGCGGAGTCCATTTAGAGAGGAGATCAACGAGACGAGCGCACTGTACGACACCGCCGGGGAAGTTGCGGCCAACCTCTACTTCATGCCATCGCCTGATTTGTGGCGATTCGTCTTTTGCGCCTCTCGCTCCCGTCGCTCCTGGTTTCGAGGCTTCAGCGCATGGGGAGCATGCACACATTATACCGCTACAGCCTGGCCTTCTTCTTGGAGGAGCGAGAAGACGAGTGGGAAGAGAGAGAGAGAGAGGTCTAGAGTCTGCCGGGGGAAAACCATCACAAAGTTTTCACACCCCTCCAAAAGCCCCACAAGCATCGGGGGGGCCTTTAAGGCCGAGGGGTCTCGCACTCCCCTCATGCCCCGGGGAAGAAGAGAGAGAGAGAGAGAGGACTTTCCCCTACGCCATAGCCCTGGCGAAAGAAAGAGAGAGAGAGAGAGAGAGAGAGAGACGCCCCAGACGCCCCTACCTATGCCTTGCACTGCCTTACACATCTCGAGAGGTCTTCGAGGCATCGATCAAGACGGAGCTCAGCAAGGCCGAAGAGTGTCCATCAGTTCCTCAAAGTCAAAGAGCGGAAATGCCCAGGACCTGGGCTACGAGAAGCGCCTCGAGGCTATAGAGCGCTCGAGCTTCTGAGCCTTCTGAGGCTTGCTTTTTCTGCTCTTCAGGCCATTCTCGTGAAGCTTTTCAGCAACCTCTTCCTTCGAGTAGCCCCGGGCCTCCAGGAAGCAGACGTGGGGAGCCTAGATGCGAGAGGGAGAGGCTCTGAGCGTCACGGCCATCGCCTCGGCTTCCGTCCGAGGTCCTGGTCTTCGGCCTGCAGCTTGCACAGGCAGGCAAGTGCAGCCACTGCCCAACACATTGCCAGGGCACCTCCTTTGGGCAGGTGAGGGCAGACAGCCTGGGAGCTCTTGCGTTTTCGAAGCCGGAGCTGGACCAGCTGCTGAAAGGCGCCCCCCTCCCACTCAGGGCCCACGCAGCTCGTGCTGCAGTGTTCTACCGCACGGCGTCTCGACTGCGCCGGCGGCCGGCCGGGCGCTTCAGGAGCCGCCGTGGACGTGCTGAAGTCTGCTTCCGCACCCCTGGCCGAGCAGTGCCGAGAGGTGCGGTCTCTTATAGCTTCTGAAGGGGTTTGGCTTTTGCTCTTCAGCTTTGAAGGTGCTGAAGCCCAAGCTGAACAACCAACAGCTCAAGGGCTTGCAGGCTGCGGGCACGACATTCCCAGCCTTCAAAGCCTTGTCTGCCTGGCACAATCTTTCACAGACCGTTGCATGCCAACGATCTCGGGCAAACGGTCTTAAGCCAAAAGATCGACTCTCGGGGGTCTTGCAGTGTTTGTCCTGAGCCTAGTGTAAGATCCGGATGCTTGCGCTGAATTTGAAGACACTCGAGGCTATCTCTGAGCTCGATCATTTCTAAGACCAGCAGTGCACGAAACTTTGACAGGGGTGAGCAGCGCAGGGAGTGAAACACGTGGCAAGGATCTCCATCTGCTGCCGTGCTTCAGTGGCTTGGCGGGGAACATTCAGGCAAAGCTGAAGCATACAAGCGGAATCCACTTTTTTCCTTAGCCAAACAGGCCAAAGAGACCGAGTGGCTGAAGTTTCTGGAGCACCTGGAGCCGGAAACCGTCATGCCCGGCGGATGGGAGAAGTTGAGGGCTTGGACAGCACATCGCTTCAGCCGCTTCACTGCTAAGCTCGGGCTGCGCTGGTTCTTGCGAGGTCTCAAGAGGACTCCGAGACCAGCCGCCTCCTGCAAAAGACCTTGATCATCAAGGCCCGCGTCATTGCTGCGAGCGTCGGACGGAGTGCTCATTCCGTGAGTGTGGCACGCCCCGTTCTTCCTGAAACTTTTCTGGCCCTTCTGGCGCATCATCTGTGTATCGTCTGTCGTTCTTGACACTCCCCGTGCTCCAGCACCGGTGCAATGATTTTGCCCTGTTCCGAATAGCAGCACCAGGCAGTGTTCTGCATAGCTGGCAGTGTCTTAGACAGGGCAAGAACATGCCGCTAGAAGCATGATCACCACTGCAGACGCAACTGGGGAGAACAGTGAGATAAGAGGAGACAGAAGCGAGTTTTGCCATTGCGCCGAGTCTTTGCTCGTTGGCCTGTGCAGTTGCTTCGTCACAGGCCTTGCGCCCGGACCGGCTGATCTTCGTGTGTGATTCGGCTGAACTGTTGGGACAGCCAGGGTAAAGTTGCATCGCGGATCCAATCGCAGCATCACCCAGGCACCCAGTTGGTGGAAGTGGTGCTTGGGAAGGGTTTTTTGGACCTGCCGGCCTTCAACTTGGCAGAGATCATTGCCAAGGACACGCGATAGCGTGCCTGTGCGAGCGGTTCGTTAGTTCTCTTACTGTCAGGACAGCAAGGCCTCGTCGCCGATCATGATGGTGAGCCCCAGTCGCTTCGGCCATTCGCTTGGAGTTCGTTGGCCTCTGGCCTTGGCCGAGGTTTCAGTGCCCGGCTTCGACCCCAGCGGGAAGGTGCCAACTTCGCGTCGACTCGATTTTATGTATGAACCTGTCGACACGGCATAAACGGGACTACAAGCAGGTGACGGAAGTGGCGCAGGCACAGAAGAAGTGCCCCGAAAGATATCAGTGGGAGGAGTTCATCGCCGCATTTGTTCTCTTCCTTCTGCCCGCGCGGAAAGGTCTTTGCAGTCCGCTGCAATGGGGTCCGAAGAGGGGTTCAATGTGGCAGACAAAGCTCACGACTCAATTGCGACTGCTTTGTTGACACTTTTGTGGTGGGTGTGCTTGCGGAGACGGCAAGTCTTTGAGGCCATCAAAGCAGCATCGAATGCAGGCAGCTGGGTGCTGCTGAAGCGCTGTGGCGGCAGTGTGCAAGCAGTGCAGAGTTGCGGCCATTACCGATGTGCAAAACGTGCCCAAAGCGGCTTTTTGTCACGGGTTTCAAGGAACGTTCACTTGGCAATCAAGTGGCTTTCGGAGCTTGTGAGGGTCTCGGAGCCCTCGGGCGATGCTTCGTCCGCAAGCCTTCTGTTTTGTAAGGAGAAGAAGCTTTACGGCATGAACCCGCAACAGAACTTCCGGCTCTTCCTTACCATGGAGTTCAACCCCAGGACGGGAGAGACACGGACGGGAATTTGTCGTTTTGATCCGAGAAAGGATACCAGCCAATTTGATCCGCCTCTCCCGTGTGTACGTCTTCGAGCCACCTTCCGGTGTCGGGGGCCCGCGGTCGCAGAGTCCTTTGGCGGAAGCACGTGGCCGCTCAGGTCAGGGCCTCGCTCCGGCGCTCCTTTGCGCAGGTCCTGGCGCCGGAGCGCACTGATCGGCAACCGGTGGAGCGCTGCAGGCGTTTGCGAGAACCAGCAGGATTCTGTCGCGCGCTGTGTAGTGAGACGCGGCCGACATCTCCTGTCAGGCTTCACTTTCTGCTGGCCTTCTTGCACGCGGTCGTGCTAGAGCGGCTGCGGTTTTTTCCAGTAGGCTCCAGCACGCTGGAGTCTCGCAGACGGTAACTATGTGGTACGTGCGTCCAAAGAATCACAGGCTGGAGCAAGAAATACGAATTCAGCGACGCAGATCAGACGTGCGGCCAGGGCCCGGGATTCCTCTCTTCTCCTGCATGCTCGTGGGATCACGTGGGACCTAGACACCGAGGCCGCGACATCATCGATGCCTGGGTTGATCGGGCCTCAACGTGGCCAAGCGTTGCGAGCTGCGAGAGCGCGCAACGTTCACCTGCGACAGGACAGTGTTTCGAACCAGGGGCAGCTGTCCAACATCAGCCCGGACCGGAGTGGTGTGCGTTGGCGGGCTCCACGGATGCCTGTGATCTGCGAGGACAAGATCCCTTGGGATGCCATCCGATCCATCCTGAGCACCTTGGCTTGGCAAAGTTTCGGTCGCTTGAAAGGGTCGCTATGTAGATCCGCTGACTAATCAAGCATAATTACATGTCATGTAAATATATAACAGTAATTATGAAAATCAATAATAATAACAACTAAGACAATTGCAATAATAATGGCTGTGTTAATCGAGTATATATATATATATATATATATATATATATGTATATGTATATGTATATGTATATATATATATATATATATATATATATATTGAATTGTAATATTATGTTGTAATAAACTATACTACACTAGACGTAAATAGTATTTAAGGGCACCCTGGTGGGCGGAAGCAGCTTCATCGGACTTGGGTCTGCTGCACCGCGCTCACGAGCATCAGCGGGACCCTCGAAACGCGGCGGAGGAGGGTCGGCGGCATCGGTGGGAGGCGTTTCAAAAACCTTCGCTTTTGGAGCTTCGCTAAGCTCTCGCGGCCCAAAGGGCCGCACTCACAGAAAGGGCTCGCCAAGGACTTTATTGGAAATTTTGAGTATCAAGGCACCCCAAAGTGCACGTCATGAGCATCAGAGAGGGGCCGCTTCTCCCCCAAGACAAAAACGCGAAATCCCACAAAGGGTTGTCAACATAATCGTCCACGCCTTGAGCGCCACAGCTCACAGAGCCCGCAGGAACACACAGACCCCCCAGCTGATGCCCATGATGCGCACCCGTGGGGTACCCCAGTCCACACCCTAAAAGGTTTAACAGCAGCGTTTCGAACGACAAAATCCGTCGAAACAAATGCATGCGAACACAGGAGAATTTCTTATTTTTCAGCGTTGTCGGCGCGCGCAAGGCCACCAAAACAGATTGGAAAGAGCGCGATGACGCGAGGTCAACGGCGTTGGCTGAGCTCGCTGCCACAGGGACCAAACTCTCAGAAAGGGGTCGCTGCGCTGCCCGATTGAAGGGCTGCGCCAGGTGCGGGCAGGGCAGGCGCAGGCCCTGTCGACCGCATGCTCGACAATGCCTCGCCCCACCCTTAAAGCATGGCCAGAGCCGGTTCGCTTACAGAAACCCAGAATCCTCGAAAGTATTCTTATCATCATTTTCCTATGAGCTCCGCCACCCCCACACAAACATCCCAGCTGATTCACATGATGCGCTTTTGAACGAAACAACGTTCCCAGAAAGAGTTTTCAGCCTCCTCTTCCGAGCCTTGAGCGCCACCGCCCACCACAGTCCTTCGTATAGGAGTCCACAGACCCCCACCTGATGCGCATGATGCGCGCCCTCGGTGCACAAACAATGTTTTGAACGGCAAATCCGTCGAATCAAGGCATGCTGGTAAGATGCGAAAACCTCGCGATTTGTAGCGTTTCGCCTCTTGCCAGAGCCAACAAAAAGAGACACATGACCAAGATAGCCATGCGAGACCCGGTCGTCCAAGTGCTCAGCACTTGAAGCCCCGCCCACAAAAAACATGAAAGGCTCTACAAAACCAGACAGAGATGCGCGATGACGCAGGGTCGGCGACGCGGGAAAAGGCCTGCTGCGCTGACCGATTCTAGGTTTAGGGCAGCGCAGGTGGAAGCCCGGAGCACTGACAAACTTAACACCCAAGGTTGGGACTCGGGACCGCTGATGCTCCTGATGCGAGCATATGCGAGTCCCCGAGCCCCGAAACCGAGGCTGCTGATGCTCCTGATGCGCGTCCCTGGCTTCTGATGCTCACGATGCGGGGGTCGTCCATGGCTACACCAAACTTAATGCAAAAGACTCGAAATGGGCTGAGGTCGGCGGCATTCCGCGTCGTGCCTTTAGCTAACGCAAGGATTGCAAGGCTATACTCGCCCAAGGCGAGAACTCACAGGACGAATGCGCTGGGGGGAGCAAGCGCTGTCAGATCGAAGACGCCTGCGGCGGAACAACCGCCTGAAAGCAAAAAAGGTAGTGGCAGGGAAAGGAGTGTGCTCTTAATTCCGGAGTTAGCGCGTAGGATGGAGCCGGCCGATGTTCCGGTTCGCATGAGAACCCCCCTGCCATCAAACAGCACGTCCCATTCGCTGCGACGTAGTGGCACTCGAGGCGCATTTTCCCGCCCGTACTGCAAAGCATTTCTCATATCAGCCGCATGCCCACTTCGCTGCGTGACCACTGGGTGTATATCTGGGAATCTACGTGAGGATACGAGGATACGGACTCGAGCGTAGGTTCTGGCAGGAACATCTGGGTCAAGTTGTATATGAAAACTGCTGCAGGAAAAAATGTTTTCAACGATCAAGTACGAAAGTTAGGGGATCGTAAACGATCAGAGACCGTCCCAGCTTTACTCCAATTTAAACATAAGCTATGCCAGCTAGAGATTGGAGGTAGTTTCCTATACGACTACTTCAGCACCTCATAGAAATCAAACTTCCTGGGTTCCGCAGGGAGTATGGTCGCATAGCTGGCAGTTGAAGGAATTGGCGGAAAGTGGAGCCTGTGGCTCAAATTGACCCAACCAAGGGAGACCAACCAGGTCCAGACATGGGGAGTGTTAGGGTTTAGGGAGCGTGTCAGGGTGTTACTGCATGGATTTAGGGTGTAGGGTTTGCAGGGTTTTAGGGCTTCGGATGTTAGGCGTGGGTGCTAGGCCTTAGGGCGTTAGGGCGTTTAGGGGATTAGGGGTGTAGGGTTGTAGGCGTTGGGAGATGCAAGCTGGTTGACCCTGCCAGTAGTCATATGCTCGCCTCGAACATTTAGCCATGCATGTCTCATTATAAGCTTTCACGGAGCGAAACTGCGAATGGCTCATTCAAGCAGCTATGATTTATCTGATGGTCATTCTACATGGATATCTGTGGTAGAGCTTATACGTGCACCAAACCCAACTTCGCAGAGGAGTTGTACTTATTGGAGGTTGGGATTCTGAGGTTGTGGGGGGTGGGGAAAGGGGGAGGGGCCTAGCATGGTCGGGAGAATGGTTTCGGGCAGGGAGGGTAGCCCCCCAACAGTAGCGCTTGCGATTTTTGCCTAACGACTTTTCTCTCGTTTAGTGGGGTAGCTTCCCAGCGGTAGCCGTCGTTTTTCTTACGTGTAGTGGTCCCCCCCCCCCCCCCCAGCGGTAGCCCTCGCGACACTTAATCCATGGCGTGAGCTCTCGGAACCATCAACTGCCCGTGACTCCCTGAAACCTTGAGCCTGTGTATCTCTACCCATACTTATACCTGTATCCATACCTAAACCTATACCTATTCGTTCACATATATATATATATATACATATGGCAGTCCCTTCTGTATATATATATATATATATATTTATATTTATATATATATTTGTATGTACATTCGTATTTATTGAATTATTTCTGTATGGGGTGCAAGGGCAGTCCACTGGAGGGGGAGACGTACAGAAGCACGGGTTGCGAGGCGAGTCCATTTACGGCGGCCGAGTGGACAACGAGTTTGACCACGCTGTCCTCAAGGCTCAGACTGGCGACTTTGAAAGCCTCGGCCCACATGTTCAAGACGTTATTTCGTGCTGTGCTTTTTCAGGCCTTCATCCATCACCTCTTCCGGGCAGAGCACGGGCCACTAAGAAACCCAGTTTGCCCCGAAAGCATGTATTGCTTCCCCCTTTGGCGAGGTCCTTCGATGCTGATTTCTCTTTGAACATGGAGTCTGCAAAGGAAGCCCTAGTATAGCCTGCAGCTTGGAAGTGGTGCGAATTGCACCGGGGCATCTGCCAGGACCAGTGCCTGCGATCCCCGGATGGCCGGAAGCGAGATCAGTTCCTGGAGTGGTCTGGCCCGCAGCATGCAGCGAGTTTGAATGGGCTGGGCAGTCTCGAGTGCAGCACAAGGATCGACAATTTGCCGGCAAAGGGGAGCCCGACATGGGTTGGCCGCACACCTAGAAGACATCGAGGCTGAAGGAACTTCGCCTCGACTTGCTGGTTGTTGGAAAACCTGGGTGTCAGTTTCAAGGCTTACCCGTGCATGCAGAGCAGATGCTGCGCATCAACAGGGCTTGGGCCCCAGTGATCATCGTGCCGGAAAGTGCTGGGCATCCATTCACCTCGAGGCGAATCACACCCTTGCGCGTTGGCTGCTCCTGCAAGGGAACACCGGGGCGTTGAAAGGCCCCCAAGAGAAGTTGCGATCGGTGCTGAAGAGGACACGTCATGTCTCATCGCGTCGAGGTGAGAAGAAGGCCGAGGGCCAAAAGCGGAGAGTGGGGTGCCCTGCGTGTACGCACTGCTTACCCCCTGCTGCGGATTTCACGCAGCTCCCTCCCAGGCTTCTGCTCTGATCAACCCATTGGCAGACTTGGGATCGAAGGCCCTGAAGCCGAGCTGCGCAGTTGAAACCGGGATGAAGTGGCAGCTGAAGGTGAGACAAATGATCGCAAACCTGCGCGAAGCTCAGAGGCAGCCACCAGGCAGCCCTTCGCGCAGCCTAAAACACTTTCGTCTGAAAGAAAGCAGCTTCTTAGGGTCAGGGAGGTCTCAGAAGTTTCGGACCCCAGGCCCGAGTCCTTGGAAGAGATGCAGCGCAGTGCGGCGTCGCTCCAAGACCCGCTCTGGTGCGGACCTGAGAGCGGCGGCGGGAAGAAGCGCCCAAGCGCCCAAGCGCCCAACGGCCGGTTGCCGAGAGCAGCTGATGTTTGTTTTTGAAAGAGCTCCGAGGCGCTGCTACGACCGAGAGGTGGGTTTTGGGAGGCGCGCGCCTCCGGCCTCCGGCGCCTCCGTCTCTCCGGGCTTCTCTCCGCAACTCTCCGCGCAACAGAGATGCAGGTCCCTTTTGAAGAAGGTTCGACAAGACCTGTCCTTGCTGTCTGCTGCCTGCGACGGAAGAGCACGCCTTAGGCTTCGGAGGTTTGGAACCGCAACAATCCGAGTGAAGATGATGTTGCAAACCTGAGGTGCAAAGAGCACCAACGACGTCCGGCAGCTAATTCAGGACTTGTAAGTGCTGGGCCACCGCAGTACCACGGAGACATGTTGTCACCATGCCAGGACTTGACGACAGACCAGGTGTGACAGCATCATTGAACTGTCTAGTCATGCATCCTCGTGTGCCGACTTTGACCACGACGCCCGTGAAGGTGCCAAAGTCATGGCGTCAGTTCGCGATGGCGGGCAAAGCCTTGTCTTGTCGCAATGGCTGATTCCTCATCCGCTGCATTCTTTCGTAGACGTGCCTACCGAAACTGGTGCCCAGTTTGAAGGCGACCCTAAGGCCCTGAGTCTGCTACCCCTAAGAGAGACTGCGCTTCAGAATCCGCCCATGTTTCTCGTCGGACGAGGGAAGAGAAGGGACCAAGCTTGCAGATTCGTTGCAGGCAGAGGTCACTGCCACGGAGTACTTGGAAAGCTCGGCCTGTTTCCACACACTTGCTCCGACGCGGCGCGTGGCTCGGCTCGTTGGAGCCAGGCAGACCTCGTGAAGCGCCTGGAGCAGCTGCGCAGCGTCGTGCAAAGCAGCTCGCAGGGGTCCCAGCCTGGGAAGCGCTCATGCAGCTTGCGACAGCTTCTGAAGCGACGGATGCTTTGTCGAGGCTGCAGCAGGTGCAGCTGTGGTACGGGGGCCTCTTCTTCCCGGAAGCCTTCCTGACAGCCTCCCGCCAGGCCAAGTCTCTGGCCATGTTGTGCTTGGCGTGACGGCCCTTCCACTAAGTGTGCGAGAATTCCAGGCGGTTGCGCAGCAAAAGCAGGTGTCCTTGGAGGTCTTTCTTTGGCCTGTGGGTTCTTGTGGACCGTGTGCAGTGTTCATTGCGAGGAGCTCAACCTCTTGGTGCAGATAGGCGCCTGTCTTCCATCACCGCGGTTGGGCGGCTCGGTTCGCGGTTGTTGGCTCGGTCTACCGGTTCAGGTGGCTCGCCTCTCTCTGGAGATGATGTTTTCCACATGACGGGGCGCGGACTTCGGCCGTTCTCACTCAGTCTCAGTTTCGCCGGGAGCGATTCCCAGGCTCCAAATGGAGGGTGCGGCCTGGGGAGATGGGCAGCTCTCCGTGACCGACGAGCTTTCCGTTGTTGCGCTCTGAGCGGGGTTTTGAGACGGATGGTCAGCGAGTCGAGTCGGACATGGGAGAGAATCGCCGAGGCTTTGCCCGACACGTGGCTCCGCTGGGTCCACGTCGACTCGGCAGAGCCGGGCGCCCGGGTGCAGAGCATCAGAGCGGGATGAAACTCATGGGTTCGTGGCTCAAGGGCCGGAGAGCATCTCGGTGTCTACAGGTTCAAGCAGACATCTGACCACTTGCGAGTTCCGGTGTACTTAAACACCAGCCGAAGCAACCTTGCTTGCAGCCCAGAGAGAATTCCTGCATGCCTGCCAAAGGAGTCGAAGGTGCATCCAGAAACCACGGCACTAAGATCAGCGCCTTCACCGTGAAGTCGCCCAAGGATGTGCCGAACGCAGTGTGCCCACGCCGGACTTGAAACACACTAGTAGGCACATCGCGCGGATTCGCAGAAGTGCTTGTCTTGTCTGGCAGGTGGGTGCAGCGCAGTGTGGCCATCACCATCTGGACAAAGCAGTGAGGACAGCCCGCTTCTTACCAGAACATAAGACAAACATAAATCATCCTAAAGCCATAAAGCGTCCCACAGTCGCCAGCCCCCAGTGAGGAGGCCTAAGTGGGAGAGTGCGATACTTGCGGCGATTTGTTAACGTTCCCACCGTGCCGCTTCTAAGCGGCTCGTGCTGAGCAGCCCGGGCTGCACCTGGAAGGGTGAAGCTTCAGCCGCTGCCCTCGGATAATGCCTGTGCTCGCATCGGCGAGACCCTTGCTGAGCGTTGGCTCTTGCAGCCCTGGCAGTGTACACTGCACTTCGACTCGAATTGCTCGGCAAGGGCTCTCGTCTGTGTATCGGAGAGTGGGGATCGCTTGTTGGGAAAGATGGCATCACGTGTCAGCAAGGTGTGGAGGGTGGAGGGTCCCACTGCAGAGCCCAAAGAAGACACCAGGCATGGTAATGCCGCAGTTTGGCTTGAAGCGGAACTGCAGCCGCACTCCTTCCAAAGCCAATTCCGCACGCCCGGCCCGTCTTCTGAGTGCATAGCATCGGAGTGCAGTAGAGCGAGTTTCTGCACGTGCCAGGCCATGTTGCGTTTACAGAGATTTCTTGCAGTTTTCGGTGCGGTGCCCAAAGGGTGCGATGCTAAGAAACCTCTGCGTGTCGCAGCGCCGTGCAGGCCTGGTGGCCCTCCTCCGAACTGCAGTTGGCGAAGAGGACGAGACGGTCACATCCTTTGGAAGGCGAGAGAAAGAGACAGGGGCCAGGATGCTTTGCCACCTAAGGAAGAAGTCCCTGACGAGCATGACATCGAGGAGGAAGCCATGACCAAAGAGCCCCACAGCCGCATTGAATCAAGATGGTGCATTGCAGCAAAAGTGGTGCCGCCTTTGTCGTTTGGCAGGCAGCTCAGGGCGCTGCATGCCAAGTTCGACCAGAACGGCGATGGCAAAGTCTCTTTGTCCGAGGTTTCAGGGTCCACTTCAATCTTGGCCTGCTGGTTGTCCCTGAAGTGATCCATTGCACTTGTTACTGGTTGGGCAGGTGTTAGAGTTCGCCAAGCACATGAGCAAAGCGATTGCGGGCAAGGAAGGGCCTGAGATGCAACGGGAGCTTGCATTCTTGGGCGCACTGTGAGTATCCAGGATGTCTCGGCCATCTTAGATGAGATCGACACTGACAAGGCTTGCTGTTTGACTGAAACTCTTTCTCTGTCCGCGTTGGCGCCTCTAGAGTGCTTGCTCGTCCCGGCGCATTTCCTGAATTCCGCCAGTATCGTGTCTTTTCCATTCCTTTCCTGCTCACTCAGGCTCGAAGCTTCATGTCAGTGTATCGCAGCAGAAAATGCACAGACGATGCGACAAAGCACGGGCCGAGAGTTTCAGCCGGTTCTGCATTTCGCACGCTGTTGCGAAGGGGGGGACGGGAATTTATGATTTATGTTACGTATATGAGGGTGGAAGGCAAGAAGGTTGCGGAGCCAAGTTGGGCAAGCGAACATGTGTAGGCGAAGCATCTTACTAGTAAGTCGAAGCTGCATAGACCTACGAAGACAGCTTTAAAAGCTGCATTACGCAGGCTTGGTCCCATGCTGGCTAAGCAGAAACAGAGCTTGCACAAAGCACCACACGAGTAAGTTGACTGATGAGGCCCTTGGTCGGGTTGAGAGCCTGAAGAAGAGCTTGGATGAATCCGGTTCCGACGGTGGTGTAATTTATCCCTCGGAAGAGCAAGAAAAGACGGTTCGCATGCACAGGCAAGAGGATCAAGGAAGCCTTCAATTGGGTCTGCGGCAGGACGGAAAGCTTTCTCTCCAGGAGCACCTGAACGATCTGCATTCACAGGCGGAGAGAGCGAGCTCCGACTCCGTTCAGGTATTTCTAGGCCGGTAGGCGTGTGCAGAACTGCAGTGAGGCGGATGGCGGTGATGAGGAGGAGCTCAAGGAGCTCGAAAGACGCAAAGCCATTGAGACCGAGAAGCCACGCGCTCCGAGAGAGATTTCGAGAAGACGCTGATGACGACAGTGACTACAACTTTGAGAGCCCAGCAAAGCGGGGGGGAGCTTTCAGCCGTCTCCAGGTTCCTGGCTGCTGACGAGGACAAAGACCAGGCGATGCGATCCGAACCAACATAAGTGGACATCACATCCGACAGCCTGGTCAGCCTGTCAGGCACTGAATGCGAAGGAAGTGGCCTCTCTTTTCTACCCAGAGACGATGGGGCCTCATGTTCGCTCGCAGCCGTACCCGGCACGGAATCTTTTCTCCTCATAGCTGTGTTTTCTAAGGAATCCTGCAGTGTTGGATGTGGTGGTCCGTGACACGATGAAGATGAAGGCCGGCATCGATGGCTTTTGCCAATTGCATTTGCCAAGATGTGTGCTTTCAGTGGGATGGAGACTCAAGAGAATCAACGCAGGACGCTGACGGCGACGGCGTGCTGACTCCAAAGGAGTAGTTGGCTGAGATGAGAGCATGTCTACCTTGGCGGGTCTGTCGCTAACTCACATTACGTTGAGGTTCTGGGAGTTTGGCGAGGAAGATCTCGAAGATCAGCTCTCTGAGGATATGCGGGAGTTTACCAGTCCTGGCAAGTCTCGGCAAGTGACAGGAGGAGGTTTCAGACTTCAAGAAGCTCGACAAAGATGGTAACGGGGTCACTGCCTTGCGCATCGTTTGAATAACAGCTGGTGCTTGCAAGCTTTTGTCGCGGTCGGAGGTCCTCAATCTGGAAGAGCTGAAAGCTTGGGAATCCGGTGTGTCGTGCTGGCCAGATTGACCGCTGAGTGGTGCATTACCCCACTCCGATGCATTACAGGGGGTAAATTGTGAAGCGGCCATGTGGTACGAGATTCAAGAGCGAGAAGGGCCAAGATTACAGCTGTTAGCCGGCTCGTGTGGGGTTCCTAACAGCTCTACCTTAGCAGGTTCCACACTGAAGCTGCCATGGTCCGCCTGCTGCAAATTGCGGACAAGGCTTCCTGGCTCAGGGGAATTAGGGCGCAGCCCCGACAGCTTCTGCTATCCTATCTGTTTGCTCGCCCCAGGACGGAGACATGATGGCAACTGCCGACGAACTGGAGAACGCGCGAGAGGACTGCTTCCATTGCTGCTACTTGCATGCACACAGCTGACACGGGTAGAGCTGGCACAAGTGCACTTACAACCCATAGCTGTGCCGTTATAGCTGTCCTGGGAGCTTTTCCTGTCACATCATGAATTGTAACGAAGGGCTGCGCAAGCAGCCAACCCGGTACCTTACCCAGAATGTTTTACCGCTATCTAAGCCCCGAATGGCCCGCATCATGAGCATCAGAGCGGACCCTTGGGGCCCCGCTGATGCTCATGATGCGGGCCCCCTGCTGCACGCATCATGAGCCTCCCCCCGTCCCCACGTGGGCGGAAGCAGCTTACATGCCCCCCGTGCCGAATTCCGGGAGTGTTGTTGGACTCCGCGGTGCAGCGGGCCCAAGTCCAATGAAGCTGCTTCCGCCCAGATGATGTGCGCCGCAGGGGCCCGCGTCACGAGCACCAGCGGGGCCTAAGGCTGTAAGGGTCCGGACTAGCACGGGGGGCCCCTCTCTGATGCTCATGATGCGGGTCATTCGGGGCCTCCCCGTGGCTTGGGCGGTGGGTTGAACCGTAGGCCACAATCCACCAGTCGTGCAGATCACGACTGCGTGACTGCTCCTGCTGCCATGCTTTAAATGCAAAGCTGCACTACATGTTGAAGCCTGTGATACTAATCGTCACCAGATGCCACCAGCTAGGAATGCTTCCCCAATACGTCCATTCCGATTCTGCGCTTGAGACTGTTGCATCGTGGCGACGATCCCAGCCGAAAGCGTGCGACTGTCACCAATATCGCCCCGCTCGATCCTTGCGACTACCCGGCCCGCACAGCACAGATCCACACGCCTATGAACGCTGAGAATCACTGATATGTCAGACATCCCCAAAGCACTTCCAACGTTGTGGGAAAGTTTTCTCATATGTGCAGCTCACACATTCAACCCGTAGTGGTGACACAGGCCAGACTCAGACATTTTCAAGACATTTGTCAGCTGCAGATTCGATGCATTGTCAGGAGCTTGCGAGCAGCGATGCCCAGTGCGCCTTTGCATTGCCAACAGCAAACCGTCACCTTTCTGTTCGAGCTTGGCATGGTCTCCTTCCATACTTCCTGTGCAGGTATCACCTCATAGAGTGGGCTGAGCACCATGAGCTCTAAGTCATCACCTGATAGAGCACGAAGAGCAAACATACAAAGAAACTTGGACTCCGCTACTCAATGGTGCCTGCAAAAGCACAGAAGCGCTTAGGCATCCCACAGACAGAAAGCCCCGAGCTTTCAATCGGTCCGGCGGAAAAGATTCGTGCGCTACCGGGGTCGGGGCCACAAGGTTTGGGACATGACCGCCGTTCACGCCGGGCCGACTTCTGGCTCGTCCGGTTAGACAGAACACATCTTACAAGCGGTTCCCAGAACATCCCAGAGCCTCCTAGGACCTAGGAGAGAGCACAGCTGCGTGCCGACGTGCCGATGGCAAGAAGGCGTTGGGTCCCAGCTTTGCTTCTCGCCTTCGCATCAGAAGGAGAAGGGGCTGGCGATGACGGAGCCTGCCGAGCCTGCGGCTCGCCTACGAGGGGGCGGAAGCACCGGCATTGATGCTCCCAAGCCGCCGGATGCTCGGAAGAAGGATCTCAAGAAGAAGAAGGATCTGAAGGAGGTGAAAGAGTCTTGGGGTAAAGTCGATGAGCTCGACGACCGACAGAAGCATGACATGGCAGCACTGGGCAAGCAAACAGATGCACTCCGCAATGCGCGGGAGCCCAAAAAGAAGCGCCGATCCGAGAGAGAGAGCCTGGATCCGTCGATTCGCGAGATCCTGGAGAAGTACTGTGAGTTCTCCGCCGAGCAGGGCCATGCGAATGTGTCCTTGCAGATGCAGCAAGCACTCAAGGAGCTTGCAAGGCAGTTGCAAACGACAGCGGAACGTGCCGATTGCGCGGAGGAGACTTTGTACTCTTTGCAGGCCCAGTTGGAGGAGCAATCCTCAGCCCGGCAACAACTGGACAAAGAGAGGCTCTCGGCGCTTCAGAAAGTCGAAGAGCTCCAGCTGCAGGCCCTGGAGCTCCAGAGTCAAGAGAAAGAGAAAGAGCGAGCGCCGCCAAGCTGCCAAGAAGAGCGCCAAGGGGCGCAGCAAGGGGGGCGGCAAGTGGCGCGGCTGGAGGCTCTGCTGAAGGAGGCCATCCTGCGCGGCGCAAGGCTGAGCCGTGCCGCCGCCGAGGCCGAGGCTGCTCTGAACGAGGCGGAGCGAGAGAAGAAGAGCTTGGAAAAGAGTTTGGAGAGGGAGCGGCGGAAACGAGAGCGGGGAGCACAGCATCGACGACTCCTCGAGACCGAGCTGCAAGGCTGCGAGCGGCGTTGCTCAGCGGCCGAAGCGAGGTTGAAGGAGTACCTCCAAGCGGCTTCCGAAGGTGCTGAGAAAGTAGTAGAGGCACACATGCAGCACTTGGCCTTCGCCGGCACCAGTCTGGCAGCCAAGGTGGACGAGCAGGCAGGGGAGCGTGTTGGTGTCATTCTGCTCAGAAGCTCTTGCCGCCGTGAGGCCGAGATCATCCAGGTGCTCCGCAGCCTGCTGCAGGACCACAAGGACTTCATCCGCCAGCAGTTGGGCTCGGAGCTTTCACTGCCATCCGACTCGGCGGAAGCCGAGCGTGCAGAGTAAAATCTGGCGCCGCAAGGCCCTGTGCCAATGGGCCAAAGGCCCTGGATGACGGCGGCACGGTGCTGTGGATCTGGTTGAGCAAGATGCTCCCAGAAGCACAGTCCGAGCCCGGCCAGAGGCTGAGAGCCGCCTGAAACCAAGGCGAAAAGTGAGCTGCAGCTGCGAAGTCGAGGTGAGAGGTCCAGAGTCGAAAGGTTGCCATTTCCGCAGCTTTGGGTTCTGTAGTCCTTGGCCTTGGCCGACCCTGTGCGCCTCTGGAGGGTGCAGAGTCCTTTGCTCAGAGCCTGCTGCAGCGGCGGCAGCCTGCAGCCTGCGTGCAGCCTGCGAGCTTCCGGAAAGGAGAGGATGGCCAACAACGGCACTGACAGTGCCAAGCACTTGGCATTTAGGACAAGCGGGCCCCTGCATTCCGGCAGCGGCATTGCGGCCCCCGCAAGGCGCCACCTCGCCCAACGGGCCCGCCGCCACCTCCGCCTGGCATCGCACGCACGCTCAGAGCACGCATGAGCTGAGAACTTCAGGGAGACGAGGCTGCGAATTCGGATCGTCTTAGGATGCCCCCAGCAGTGATGTGGCGCCTGCCCAAGACCAAATTGACACGTATTCGTAGCGAGGCGGAGCAAAGTGAAGCTGTGCTTGCCGAGACGCTCTCGTTCTAAGATGTTCTAAGGACCTGCACCACGACATTGCTCGTGACATTGGCCAGCAGGCTGGGCATGCCTGTGCGCTGGCACCAGTGTAGCCAAAGCCGATCCCGAGGTGGAGGTCATGATTCTTGATGCCAAACATGCGTCCGAAACGAAAGTGGGAAAGGACTCATTGGTTTAGCTTCTCGTTTCTGCTCTGTTATAGGCTCTGTGGTTCCGCTAGCTTCGATGCGTTCAGCAGGAGATCACAAAGATCAAGGGCAAGATGGAGGTAAGTCCTTCCGTCGTTAAGGGGACCTGCAGCAAGTGGCGACGCTAAGGCCATGGCTGAGAAGATTAAGATGATCAATGAGCGTGTTGCTAGGGCCTTATGCCTCTCCACTACAGCCACGGATTCCTACAGCTGTGTTTCGTCGAGGCCGGCATTGAGCCAGGCAGAAATGGCCTCCTCAAGGCAGGGCCGGAACATGCCATTGCTTACCTTCTCGGCCGGGGAGCAGCAGATCCCCTGACCAGTCGGACCTCCAATCGAGCATCGCCAAGCTTGAGGAAGTTTGGGAGGGCGAGGCGGGGAAGCGGGGAAGATACAGTCAGACCGCCCCTAGGCGGTGCAAAGACTGAGGTCGGGACTTTGAAGCACGAGCTTTGGCAGACCATCCAGGCCAGGCTGCTGGAGCCGAAAAAGGAAAGTCCCCCCGCCGCCCGCTTGCCGAAACCAGGCCCACAACCACAATGCGGACCTCCTGAAGCACCACAAGGCGAGGCTGTGAGGCTGTGAGGCCGTGAGGCCGTGAGCGATGGTGGAGCTCGCAACGACAGGATGCCATAGACCAGGTTCAAAGCAGAATGACGGATCTTGCGCCTTCCTAAGCGTATACAGCACGGTGCATGGCACACATGGCTTCTTGGACCCAACGAAGCAATTGGCTGGCCATAGGCTCCGAACCCTGAGCTCGAACAGGTGTGGTCGTCGACTTGTCGCCTTGCACTTGTGTCCGCTGTGCCCTTGGCCACTTTGGCCGTGGCTCACTGCTTTTTGCAGGTGCACTTGCAGCTCTTACAGGTTGACAAGGCTCGGGAAGCTCAGAAACACGCTGCACGGTGCAGCTGGTGCCAAGAGATTCCTCGAAGGTGCTTCAGAGGGAAATGGCCAAGGACACTGCATCAAGCTGTGCTGCATTGCTGCAGAGCAAATCTCCGTGAAAGCAGCACCCATCTCCTACTGTGGGACGAAACAGGAGCAACAGATGGACCAGTTAATGGCGCGGTTGACGGTGGTACAGCAGCAGCTTATGTCAGTTTGGGTGCCTGGGCAGCAAAGGCAGAAGCCGTGGGTCACGCATGTGGCGTCTTTCGACTCGACGAAGGCAGGTGCATCCACGGCGGGATCTTCGGCTTTTTTGGCAGCTCAGGCCTGGGCGCAGTGTCAGAGGAGTTTCTCTTAACTGCGAATGCTCTTTCTGCCTTTCGTCTTTCGTCTTGGTTTGGGCCTAGAACGTGCTTTCGAGGGGCGCTGGGCAAGATTGGTGGTACGATGTGTGTTTTGCAAGTGTGCATCGCGCTGCCGCCGCCAACACGTCAGCTTAAGGGTATGTCGTCAATCGACAGATGTTGACTTTCTTTTGGCTGACATGGCTGCTGCCCGCCGGAGCAGACTGGGTTGCATGGACTAACTCGGAGCAGCATGGCAGTGCCGGTGCAGCTGGATGGCAAAAAGTCCCACGAGCAGATCAGTATGATGTCTTGGACTGGGAAGTCGAGGGCAAGGCAAACGCCTACCGCTTCTTCTACCCGGGTGCCCCCTAAAGCAATGCAGGCATAAGCCATGTGCAACGCTGCTCTTGGAATTGGCTGCAGTCCGAGGTGCCACGCACTACACGCTGGGCACCCCTAGCAGCTCCTCTCTGGTCGTGCATGGTGCTCAGAGTGCTCAGAGTGCTCAGTGCGAGATCAGGCTCTGTTCGCAGGGCCCTCGGGGAGAGCAGTTAGCTGGGGGTGATTGCCCTTCCACGTCCTTTAGATGGTGGGGGAGGTGGGGAGGAACAGCGGCAGAGCAGTAGCAGCAACACTCACGCGGTCGGCTCAAGAGAGGGAGAGCGGCAGTTGGTCAGATGCATGTGTCAGTGAGAATGTACGATCGTCCAAGTTTCTCCATCGGACACTTGATGGCTATAGCCTGATGGATGATCTACATTCGCTGTTCACTCCCCTGCAGCCAACAACAGGTTGGGTGGGCATGATGCCCGGGGGACTTGACCGTCTCCTATGCCCGGGACAGAGAGAGAGAGAGAGAGAGACCGTGTGATCTCGCAAAGTACCGGTACCACGTCTACCTCGATGGCAAGCTCCTCAAGCAACCCCACGGCCGGGGGGAAGGACGAGCAGAGGGGGAGACGACTCTCAAGGTCTCCATCTGCAAAGCCAGCCAAGGTTAACACCACCTGGGAGGAACAATGCAAGCTGGCTGAGGTGCTCAAGGAGATGGGGGTGACCTGCAAAGCGTGCCTGCAGGGCCCCTTCTGCCACAAAGCTCACGAGCCGGGGGAAGGATGCTACAAGACCATGGTCGCCAACGGCACGTTTACCAGTACGGGGAGAGCATGTGACCTCAGACGAGGGGGAGCTGCGCAGAAAGTTCTGGTACAGACCCGCAACCCTGAAGACGCCGGAGGCGAGGGAAGCGGACAACCATGGGCAAACTACGTCCGCTTTGAGACGGAAGGTGGCCTGGCGTTGTTGTATGAGCCAGGGCCTTTGGACCGGTGGATCGGGAGAGACATCCACTACCTTTGGCGTTCCCAGCAATACGTGGACTGGGCGACGGGGGACCCGCTACTTGAGGACGAAGTCGCCGACTACAAGTGCTACCAGCAACGACACAACGAAAGGCGAGCCACCGGCAGAAATGCCGACAAGCTGGTGGAGCTGGTGGGGAAGCACAACCCACGTATAGAAGAGGAGCTGCGGATCTACGTGGGGAGGTTTCCATGGAAGGTCGCCCCACTCCTGTCCCAAGCGAAACTTGTCTTCCGCGCGAGGGGGACGAACCGGAGAAGCCCAAGCTCGAGAGGACCACGAAGGGGGAGAAGACGGAGCACAAGAAGGCCAAGAAGACCACCAAGGGGGAGAAGACGGCGCACAAGAAGGCCAAGAAGGAGGAGGGGAAAGACCGTCACCGCCGCAGAGACAAAAAAGAACGCAAAGACAGGAAGAGCAAGCCAGAGGATGAACCAAGCCGGGCAAGCCGGGCACCTGCAGCAGTGGGGGAAGGACAACTCCCAACAGTGGGGGAGACAGACCTTCCCGACGACGCGCCGGACTGGGGAAGCGACAGCCACGAGGAACACGCTGACCAAGACGACGCCAACCTGACTCCGGGGGGGGCGACACAGCCCACGGCCGGGTCAGCTCAGCAGTGGGAGCTCAAAGGCCTCGCTCACCAAGCCGAAGCCCCGTGAGAGCCAACCTCCGGCCGAACGCAAGTTGGAGGGCAGTGCAGCGAGTCCAACACATGCGGGCCAGCTATGAACGACGATGCTGAACAAAGTGAGTGAGGGCGTGTGTAAAAAGTTTTGAGGGAGCGAGCGGGGGGGATGTGTCCTTTTTGGGGTTGTTGGGGGTGCTTGCTTGTTTCGGACTTCGGGGGATGACGCTGACCCGCCCTCGTTCCCCTAATGCAACCTTGCTGTCTTGCACATGCACAAACCTTCGGTCTTTCGCTCTGACCTCACCGTATGCCTGAAAGTGCCAGCAAAGCTGCGTCTTGGTGTGAATTCTTTGTGTGGGCCGACATGGCCCTTCTCAGGCAAACCCTCACTCAACGGGCTGGACAAAAAGCCCTAATCCTAGTTTCTTTTCAGCACACCTGTCGCAACTGAATTCGGGGGACAAGAGGCACAAATTCATTATGTTTCCGGCCTCGACGTTTCAGAGTTGCCCGTGTGAAATCACGGGGGATGGCATGCCTTTTCCTCTTGCTCCCGGAGAAGGCCAGTATAGGCACTGCTTGGCTGCTCTAGTTACGTTTGGGCATTGCTGATTCTTGGTGGAACAAATACTGGCCTTTTCACTTTACCAGTAAAGCCGAGCCCCTTTCAGTAAAACCGACGGGGGATGAAGAACCACCCGTGAAACGCGGGTGTGCGGACTCGCACAGGGGGGGGCCCTGGACGCTGGCCCACCCTCTACGCCCGGTAGAGAGAGAGAGAGAGAGACCGTGTGCGTTTGTGTTCGTTGGCAGCGGTGCTGTAGGGGGGCAAAGAGGGCTGAAAGCACTCCTGGCCGGGGGGACAAACGGTTCCCCACAGCGCTTTTGCACAGAACTGTGCCCAAACGGCTCATCGAGATGAGGCGCGAGGCGGGGTTGATAGGTAAAGTTCAGGGGGGTTTAATGGTCCAAGCCGGCGCCGGGTCTCAACAGAGGACGTTCTTTTTCACCAGAGACTTCCCAGTGCGCACATGTGCGCGGGGGGAGGGAGACCGACCCCTTGGCTGCGTGCAAGCTAGAGAGACCGTAGCCATTTTGGTTCAAGTCTTTCACTCTTGTGGGAACCCGGCTGTCACCCGGGGGGCCTGGTGGGGGGCTTGAGGCCACCTGCCGCTACTTTCGGTTTCCAGGGACCTTTCAGGGGAGGTTCGCGAAAGTCCCGCCGTGAAACTGGCCCTTGGGGGCTCACCGGGACCCTGGTGAGGAACCTAAGGAGGCCCAGGAGTAGGGGTCGGGCAAAGATGCTACGTCGCAGCGGAACTCATGGTGATCTCCCCACTCAAGTACCTTCTCGAAGAGATGGGGGATCAGACGCTGTTCGTCCAGCACACTCCCGTGCGCACTCTCCTAAAGACGCAGCTTTACCTTCACGCTGGGAGAGGGCCAAGACCGAGGGAACGGACGAGACTGTGGCAGGGACAAAGTGCACCCGATGACCTGGAAGATGACAGGCCTCCACTAAAGAGGCACAAGCCGGCCAGCACACCAACCAAGAAACAGGCACCCCTCATGGCGCATGAAAGGTCGTGAGAGAAAGGGCACCAGTGAGAACACAAACACACCTGAGCGAAAGCGCCGCTGTAGGTGATGGCTCGGAGAAATTTTGCCAGAGTGTATATGCTGTATATGTCAATGGCATGGGCCTAAGGCCAGACCTCAACTTCCTTGTACCAGCCATGATAAACAAATGGAACGACCGGACTCTTCCTTACAAACCCAACAGAATGGTGTGCCTGCAGCAACATAAGAGAGGCGGGGCCGTGAACTGAAGCAAGTTTTTCCGTCCTGCCTGAGCTTGCTGAAGGGACCCGAGAATACTGTATGGATTGTCGTTGGTGGTGCTGCTCTCTAGGGTTGTCACTTTGGTTTGTGATTCTGACAATGCTTCCTACTCGGGACACCCGAGAAACTTTCTTGAACAGTCGAGCCCATCCAAACAAAATGTTGGATGGGGTTGCGCACGTGCGCGGGCCGCAAGGATTGCTTGCGGTCCATACCCCGCAGCAAAGCCAAGCAAAGCAAAGAGAGAGAGAGAGAGAGAGAGAGAGAGGGCGAGAGAGAGAGAGAGAGACAGAGGGTTGGCTTCTTCCGGTTTGCATGTTGTCGGCGGCGCGATATTGCGGCAAACACAAGCAGCACACCTGCAACCAACAGTCGTCCCCTGCGGGGGTGCGCCCTCAAGACTGGTGAAAGAAAGAGCGAGAGAAAGAGGGAGACAGAGAGGCCTCATGAGCCCTTTGTCCGAATGCAAGCGCGAGAGAGAGAGAGAGAGAGAGCCCTGATGAAGAAGAGAGAGAGACAGAGAGAGCGAGAGAGGGCAAGCAAGCAGAAGCTATGATTTCCCTCATTAATATTCTGAGACTTCTCTGCTCAACTTCGTCGTCGAGACATGTTGAAAGCACCTCATAGGGAGAGAGCTGCAATCCACGGCAGCCTGCCGAACATTCGCGAACAGGATGTTCAAGCTTTCTGCTCTAGGGTTTGGAGTTGAGGTTTAAGTTTAAAGTTCAGCGTTTGGGTTTTGGGGTCTTGACTAAGGAGTCTGAGGCAACCACCTATCCAGCATCGACCCTAGAGCCCTCTTGCCTGGTGTATTGCGTTTTGGGGATTGATTGTATTGGCAAGGGTCCGACGCCCGTGTAAAGAACAGCAGCATCCGTCCCTGCAAGCGAAAGAAACGATATCGAAACCATTGACCTGCACTGTCGAACCCTGATTTCATGCTCTCCCCCTTGGGTGGGGGCGGGGAGAAGGGCGGCAAAACACAGCTGTTTCCCTTGCCGGCTATGTCGCGCTCGCTGCCTGAGGCACGTGTGGCAGCCTTTCTCAGAGACAGCGGCTGACGCAGCCGTAGGAGCGAACCTGCGTGGTGCCTTGTACGGTTTGTACCACCGGCACTTGCACCGCGTGGTCGTGAACGTCTCCAATGTCGGCTGGTCGAGGATTGTGACGGATCCGATTTGCGAAGAAGGAGCTGTATGCCCAGTTGCACTGCTGATCGGAACGAGTCAGCTCCCGCAGACTCTTGGCAAGCACGGCTTTTGCATCCCTTCCAGAACTAATGTAGACCCTGCTCAGTCTGTGCCCCTTGTTCGCCCCGTGCTTCGACCCTTGCAGGCGAGTCGCATCTGGTAGAATCCATCCTCTTGACGACTATTTGGCGGCATATCTGCTGAAGCACCTGCAACGCTTGCCAGATGAGTTTCAGAGCATTATGTACTACGACTACTACTTGACCTCCCGCTTTATGGGAATTCCCTTCGTGACGGATGTTCGGCTGCTGGGCTTCAACAAGACTACGCTGGAGAACCTGGGCTTGGAGCTTCCGCCGCCACACGGTCGATACGATTGGACGTGGGAGAACCTCCGTGACACGGCGTGCGCGATCACCGAGAAGTACGGTGTTGGAGGCACAAGCAAAACGATGGGTGCACGGTGCACGCGGACACGATAGTTTTTGTCGCCCTGAAGGTCTAATGGCGAATTCTGACTGGGACGAGGATGCCAAGCTCTTCATGCTCATGGTTCAAGCAGCTCACGGGGCTCTCTTTCGAACCTACCTTGGTTCCGATGGGCCTTCGCGGCAATGCAACTTGGGGACGGGAAGGTCGGCGATCGACACGTTCTGGAAGCCGATGGTCCAGAGAGGTTGCTTGGCAACCCCGGCCATACAGAGAACAGAGAACTCCCCAACAAGTTGTTGTCAATGCGTATATTCGTCATTGTTGCCGTTTGTGTCTGATGCAGCACTCACGGGCTTAACCGAGGCTGCCTGCGGAGCTCTGGCAATCAGAACTATTGGGGCATCACTGGGACCTCCAACCTGACACCAGTTCTCGAGACTGCAGTGGATCCAGTACACCCACCCGACGTGTCCGGTTTCTCCAATTACAACTACACCGATGATCGCACCTTGGGTTTCTTCATATCGCCGGGACTTGAGGAGGAGCTCTCCTATGGACGATGCATGCCATCGCAGCTGCGACAACCGGAATCGGTGGGCAACTGCAGTGTGCTTGAGACGTGGCATCTGAGTGCCCTTTATGAACTGAGTCTTGTTTAACTAAGCAGTTTCGTCCTTCCCGTGTTCGGCGCGTCCGGTGCTTTCACGGCTGCGGAGGCCCGGACTCCTGCCAGCAGCGCGCCTTCCGCCTCGGTGCCGACACCTTTGCCTACGAGACTGAAGGTCGTGAAAGGGCTATTGCCTGCGAAGTCCTCCGCTGCAAGAGTGCCGGTCAGGTGGCCTCTTGGGCATCAGAGCGTCCTGGCTGGGAGATCGTCTCAAAGCATTGCAGCGAGATCTTGTATGCCACGATGCCCGAAAACCTGACCTATCAGGGTGGAAGCGGCTTGGCACTCACCATGCGAGAGACTGGAGGTGAGGCGAACCAATCTTGTCCAAACATCACTGCCTTGTGGGAGTATGACTGGCTTCGGAACGATGAAGAACCTCCACCGTGTTGGGAGAATGCAGAAGGATGGCGCCTCATTTCGGAACTTATTGATCTGGAGAAGCCCTACATGCGCCAGGCCAACACGCTCAGGGATATGCAGACACTCCCACCTTTGAAGGACCTCTCTTCTTTCGGCACTTCTTTCTGGGAGCCCGTGATAACTGCCCTGTTGCACGGCATTCCAAGCCAGTATCCGAACTCGCCGATTCCCCAGTACGCTGAAGTGGAATCCTTGAAGCCGATTCGGATCGCGCTCCTGCGGAGCATCTATGGGAATGTGACGCCTGCAGAATCTTTGCGAGAAGCCTGCAGCATCGTGGACGAGGCACGCTTTGATGTTTCGCTTTGATGTTTCGTAAACCGGAAGGCCACAGCAAATCGGGAGCCCTTTGCACTGTGCACCCAAGAGCCATTCGAAGAGGGCCCTGCAGGGTCCCACGACAGACCACTGAAGTTAGAAAGCACAAGACTGACAGACGGGCAGCACCCGGCACATTAGAAGGCACCTTCAGTAAGGTTGACGCTCCTGACTGATTTCTTTAAGTCAGCACTTGACACTAGTTGCAGCGTGTGACATCACAGCACTCTGTGCTGCACCAAAGGATGGCTTCAGCTTCGAACCCCACTATGCCGCTGGGCCGTAGGCCTTTACAGAACCTACGACATCGGACCCGGCTTTGCCGCAAGCTGGACATGACTGGAGTGTCCCTTTCATCACCCCTCCTTGACTTGACACGATCCCTGGGCTGTGTCACCTTTATGCTGAAATACTAAACCTGAACCAGCCCCATGCAAGCTGGATTCCACTTTAAGCATCGTCACCACGAACACTAGCACGTGCGCTACATTTCGGGCTGCAAACTCACCCCTCGGTATGTTGGGCTGCAATACTCACCCGAAGACACGTCCAGCCTCACCTTGGTTTTCACGGATCCACAGGTTTCTAATTACAGTACTCGCAAAGCCTCCTGACTCCTGTGTCGAATCCTTCCAGAATTGCGCAGCTCGCAACTACTCACACGGAATTGGGGCCAAACGAACCCATGGGCCGGAGGGGCCTCTTGTCATTGACCACCTCTGCTCGTGAAAAGAGCCTGAGCATGGCCACTGAATGGAGTGATTCCGTAAAACACTCATTGTCTCGTTGGCGACCCTTGAAGGTCCTTCGACCATGCAATCAGTCGAAGTGGCGCACGGACCCGCGCTGCAAGAACCCGAGGGACGCTTGTATGCAGGCAGGATGCGGAGTTGTCCACTGTCTGTGCAGAAGGTTGAACAAAGCCCAGTCTACTCCTCCTCCTCCTCCTTCTCCTCCTCCTGCTCCTCCTCCTCCTCCTCCTCCTCCTCCTCCTCCTCCTCCTCATTCGTCCAACTATTGCTCCTAAACTCCGCCGCCTCCTCCTCCTGTGCACCAGCGCCACCATCATCAGTTTCAGCCATTTTCAGCATCACCATGACACAGATATAACTATTGTCAACAAGATTGCAATTCGCGTGTGCGGTGCATGGCCTGTCTTCAGCCGGGATTGTTGACAGCAGCTTTTCAAAGTCTTTGTCATGTGTACTCCAATCTCTTAAAGGGGCTGTGGTAAGAAGGGAAGGGACTCTGCTGCACTCTGCTACTCAAACCAAGGATGGCCTACAGGGTTGTCCGGAAGGCTTTTTCTACCGGGAGACTTTCGAGGACTTCGGCTTGGGATGCACGAAATGCCAGCCCGGGCGCTATGCCGACGAGCGTTCTGTGAGTTTGGAGTGTAAAGCATGTGCGGCCGGACAGTTCTCGGACCAGATCGGAAGCACCTCCTGCCGGCAATGCGCCGTTGGTACAGTTGCACAGCAAACGGGATTGTCTGAGTGTATAGAGTGCCCGATGGGACGTGCTCCCTTGGACACTTCGTGGTGCGATTCTTGTCCTCCGGCTACCTACCAAAGCGGCCCGACATGCGTGCCTTGTCCGACTGGCTTCACGTCAGCAGAGGAGAGCACCAGCATCAGGGCCTGCACTCGCAAGGGATCCATTCTCTTATTGAACTTGCTCTTGGTTTTTTTCTTCGTCGGTCTGGCCTTGCTCTTGCCGTTGCTGCTTGGCCGTCCCCTTCCGATCGACGACATCTACATGGAGGACGGCTACGTTGTGGTGAAGACCTGGGGAGGACACCGAATCGCGCGCTGGAGCCCTGTTCCGCTGCACATCCAGCTCAAGCACACGCAGCATCCAGAGGCTCCCTTTTGCTTCAAGGGTCCCAGGGTGGATTCAGACATTGTGCTTGCCACAGCCTGTGAGGTTGAAAGCAGGATGGGTCTGTTTCAAGCGAAAGTGCGGTGGACCGACGAGGTGTGGCTGTGCCTTTGACTCGAACTCGACGGATCAGAGGTGCGACAGTGATCCTGCGCATGCCTGATCATGCAAGCCAAGGATGGACTCAAAGGGAGCTCATGTGACTGACAACATCAACTGTTCCCGAGGGAGCCTAAGATTGCAGATGAGGACACCGCCGTATCCGACACGCATTACATCTTTCCTCCCTTGGAGCTTGTGGTTTTTTTTGGAGCCGTAGCAAACTGCTCCCTGTTCAGGAGCACCTTTTTGGGTGCTGTGATCGGGAGGTTGCCGGTGGGGCTGTTTTCCATATGGCTCTGTGGCTGCCTGGGGGTCTTGATCTTCGTCCTCAGCCAGAACGCCGATGCCGAGGCAGAGGTTTTGCCCTACGTGTTCATGGCCCTTTGTTTGGCGCTGGGCCTGGCACTGGGCGGCTACTGGTACTGGTGGAGACAAAGCTTCGAGACGCCGCTGGCACGGAAGCGAAAGCAATGGCGCGAAAAGCTGCGCCTGGGCATAGCCGGCAGCCACTGTGCATCCTGACCTGCGATGCTTCCACAAGTCTGAGTCTGAGGCTTCAAAAACACAAGCCGGTCGCCTGCGACAGGGGTCCAGGCAGAGCCATTGATGCCGGGAAGCTCTGTGATTTTCACACCTACTTCCAGGAAGCCATCGGAAAGCGCAATATGTCCCTCGTCCCAGTCCGAGTCATCATAGAATCTGGGGATCTAGGAAGTTTAATCGCAGAGTGTTGGGAGGAGGGCTTTGCTCTCGGCTGGAGCTTGAGCGATGAGGACCTACGTCGTGTCCAACCTGCTGCTGCCGCTCACGAAGCAAGACAGGATGTCCTACGCGGAGCTAGCCGGGCCGAGTCCAGTTAACTGGTTCTATGGAAGCAAGAAGTCCACTGCTAGGTTTTTTTGGCTATTGAAGGTTGAGTGCACTGCAAGCTTCGTGCTCATTGAGTTTCCGAGGTTCGTTGTATGGGTCCAGGCTGCTTCGTGTCCCGTGTTTTATCACTGCCGGTTGTTCGTCGAAAGTTCTCTTAGACTTTTCACTACAAACTCTTTCGTTCAAGTCACAGCCTGTTCCCGCATGGCGTGAGAAGTGCGTGTATGAGGGGTTATTGCTGTTGCTACATTGCGATATTAGCGAAGTGACATATGTGGCAAGTATCGTGGACTTGGGGCCGAGAGGCTTGAGGACGGCGAGCGCAGGATAGCCCTGCCCATAAGGTTTGTCTCCCACTGCTGGAGCAATGGCTTTGCGGACCTCGTCGAGAGCTTGCGTCGGCTAGCCATGAGCCTGGCCGAGCCCGCCCATACGGCGCAGGAGGCGGCACAGGAGCCGCTCTGGCGCGAAGTCGCTTGACAGGAACTACAGTCATCCGCCACTGTGAACCACAGTGGCCACAGAGAAGCTCTGAGGTTTCCTACTGGATTTGCTCCTTCAGCAACAACCAGTGGCGATTGGATGAAGAGCTTGGGCAAGGTGACCCAATGGCTTCCTCCTTCAATCAGGCCGGCAGAGAAGAAGGAGCTCTGAACTGGAGCACTGTAGCTCTTGCCGACTTCAGCCGGTGTCCGGGAGGCGTTGTGGAGCCCGACGTGCAAAGGTCCCGGCCTCACAGAACCGGAGAAAGAGAAGTCTTCGATGTAACTCCAGTGGTCAGGAACTGCGATGGTCTTGGATGAGAATGCAGAGGCCCTGAGAAGGTCTTGGTGCCTCTTTGAGGCGGGGCTGCTGGACCAGCGCCGCCGGGTCCGCGTTCTCCACTCTCCTTCCTCTTCGTTGTCTCTTCTCATTGAGGTCTTTCAGAACTGCAAGCTCACTGCCGAGCGGAGCGACTACGAAGGCCGCGGCCGGGACGGCCCCAGTCTGCCCCAGTCTCGCTTTCAAAGCCTTTGCTCGCAGGTCTCCTGATGTGTACGCCTGCAGGCGGGAGGGACTGAAGGGTCTCGATGGTCTCAGCTGTCTCAGCTCATCGGATTCCCCAGCCTGCTCTTTCATGACACTTCTACAGGCGTGCTGCAAAAGGGAGATGCAAGTGTGGACATGGTCGTGGTACTCGCACGGACCCTTTCCAAGATCAAGATGGAGGATGCCACTGCATCGAAGCCTGAGGACAAAATCATGATCGACACTTGCCCCTGGTCTGCTATACTTCTGCTACAGAATTAGTATAGTTCTTTGTCCATGGCTCATAGCCGGCAGAGGCAAGCACTCGCGACAGGTGTCCAATCGCTGGAAGGAGGCTTTGGTGCTGTGAATCGCTTCGTGCGCCACTGCATCAAGACCGCCCTGGACGAAGCCCACGTGTCTTTCGAAGGACGGACATGTGCTGCTCTTTCCCATGCCATCCCTCAAAACACGAGAGCGTAGCCTCCTGTTCTCTAAGGACACTTTGCGGCGCTTGTCACAGCCCTGGAACAAGAACCCTCGTGACTCGGAGGGAGGAGATGTCCAGCAGTAGTCCCTGTGGCCGTGTACGCATAGTTCGGGATTCGGGCGGATTACTCTGTCTACAGGGCTTATAAGGCTTAAGTACTGTATTACGGGCTGGTGGGCTCGCAATGCTTTTTGGTAGGTTCCTGCCAGCTTGATGCATTGACAGTTCCGATGAGAGCTGCAGGCCTCCTCCAACGTTGCCAACATTGCTGGGTCGACGCAGTCAATCGCTCTTGCCAGACTGTCCGGCAAAATCACGCATCTGATGCACTTGGTTGTGCGCGGCGGTGCTTTCCAATCTTCTCCAGCTGAAGCCGCTGTAGCCTCTTCACTTTCATTCACCATTTCATAAATTCAGGCTCCCTGCTAGCGAGTCTGGTGCGTGAGAACAGAGGGTCTCTGATACAGAGGCGCTCAGACCATCGCAGTGCAGCGCGCAGCGCAGTGTCGGGATCCTCGGTGGGGCAATAGTCCGCCATCGGAGGATCTCTGTACAGACGCCCCCGAGAAGTGTCTGAGGGCCTGCCCTTACTTAGACTTCTCCAGGATGAGAAAGAAGAGAGGGCCAGGAAAGCCTCTAAACCCATGAGAGAGCAGGAGGTCGGAACCGATGAAGCTAGGTGTGGTTACGGTTGAGAGGCCGCCAGCGGGGCATCGCTTCAGAGCGCCCTCGCGGCCCAGGCCGACCAGTCTGCGGCGGTTCAAAGATTCAGAGCGACTTCCCTTGTCAGGCTAGGGCTGCACCCGCAGCAAGCAGCAAAAAGGCGCAGAAGAAGGCCCCGGGCGAGGGTAGGACGGGACAGGAGTGAAAGCAGGGACAACTCGTCGAATCGGCTTGCTCGGCGCAGAGAAGTCGAGAGCATTTGAGAGCAGAGCAGAGCACAGTCGCGAGGTTACCAAGACCACCAAGGGCGCCAAGGCTTCCGCTGCCTCTTTGGCTGCGGCCGCGTCTCTGCGAGCTGAGGCCCATGCCCCATGCCCCCACCGCCGGCATTCTCCTGGCAAAGGGCTTCGAATTTGATTTACTTGCGATCACGTGCGTCAGGCGCCGGAGTTCGTCCCCACATCCGGCTGGCCGGAATCATAGGTCAGGCGGGGGAACTCAAATCCCGGCGATGCGCCGCGTGATGTTGGCAAGGACAAAGGAGGATAAAGCAAACAACGAGGAAGGGTGAGCGCCCTTTGATGTCATGTGAGACTCTACACAAGCATCTTTGCTTGGAGGGTGCGAATTTAGAATGGTTACTAGCACTGACATGTGCGCGGCCCGATGAATTAAGCAATCCAAGCTGTAACGACGGCCGTTGCGTTGCCAGTGTTTTCTCAGAAGCCTACGGCTTATGCCAGTGCAAGAGCTGCTGTGCCGAGAACAGAAAGGCGACGCAGAGTGTGTTGTAGTCTACTGAGACTCGCCGAGAACTCGCAGAGCTTGTGATGCACGGCAGCGCCGCCTTTGCCAAAGTACTGACCAAAGCAGTTGAAATGGCGGTCTCGTGCCAATTTGTTGAACAGGATTCGGAGTCACACGCCAGTGTACACAACAGGGCCAGTTCGAATCCTCAACGGTGGTTGGGACTGTGTGCTTCTTTCATACATTTTCGCAGGACCTGTCTTGATTGCAGACCTTCCGCATGTACGGCAGCTGGCCTTGTTTTTCAGTGCACCCGAACGTGGTGTCTGCAGCCTATACGGAGTGCTCCAGTGTCTGGTTCGTGATACCATCCGTGGTGCCGAGTGGAGCACTATTGCTCAATCTGCCATCGATTTTGTTCGAGCAGCATCTCTCACCGGGGAGATCGCGGCAGATGCACTTGAGACGCGAGTGCTGCTTGTGTAAAACCCGCCGCAATGCGTCGTGGCTCGGCTGGCGCCGGCTTTCATCGCCAACCAAGGCTCAACTTGTTCTTACCCAGAGTTCACGACTTTACGACGTCAATGGGCTTTAGATCTGATCAGCCTGTTTGCAGCTGCATTCTAGCGGAATAGACATCAGTCTGTCCATGCATTGGACACGTGCTGAAGTAGCCACGAAGAGTTTAATTACATTACTCAATAACATGACTCATGCTGACCTGACGAAGCAAGAGCAGTTGCATACCGCGCCGCCATAGTAGCCCCGGCCTACGACTCGGCCGCCTAGCTCTCGCGCTTGGGGCCCAGCGCCGCTGCTAGCAGATGCCATCATGGGGAAAGTGTGGCAGTGCAGCGGCCGCTGGCTCAGACAGGATCGAGCTGGGGCTCCGGCTGGAACCAGATGGGGAAGCGCTGGCCTCAGCGAGTGCCTCTCACCGACTCTCGTCCACCCGCCGCTTTACAGGTCGATCCGGTCCAAGATCAAGAAGCGCCTTCGGACGGTGAAGAGGTCAGACCTTCGCACGTCGTCACGACATTGCCGCAACGGCGGAAACCTTGAATTCAGGCAGCGGGTTGATGCCATGCTGGTGCCTACCTGAGCTTGTAAAAGAGGACGTCGCCCTCGTGCACGAGCATACGTTTTCGAGCCTCAGGTCACGCCCCGCGAAGAAGAGAAGCATGACAAGCTCGTGTTGGGCTCAATCTAACGATCGCTTGATCTTCTTCTGAACTGAGCTGCAACATGTCCACTAGATCGTTGCTTCTTGGACGAGAGTCACGCCGGTGACATAAACACATGCTGTTTGTCTGCAATAGGATTGTGAGCACTGATCATGGTACTGCAACGTCGGTTTCTATCCTCGGTCCTCTTGCGGCCGGCCAGGAAAGGCTCTCAAAGGAGCCACGCCAGGCACTAGAGCTCTGAGACGATGTCACCTGTTGAACAAGTCAAGTCATTGAGGATTTGTTGCTCCTGCCTAGAAGATGTTGTCTCAGAAGGCTTGTCACAGCCGTACAGACTTTCCAGACATGAAGGTACAGACGAAGATGTGCTTGGTTTCAAAACGACTCTTGGTGCATAGCTCATCCCACACGTGTTCCCACACCACGTGGACAAGTGCACAACAACAGCCTTTCAAGCCTAGCCGTACAGCTAGACAAGCAAGGACTAACACAAGACATGGCTTGACCGCAAAGGCATTGTTGCATGACGGTTCGTCTTTGTCTTGCTGCATAGCACGATGTACCTTTTGCTCCGCCCAGATGAAAGTGGCACAAGGCAAGCAACTCACGCTCCTGAGGCCCAGCTTGTGTCTGACGAATGTTGGTCTCATGCTATCCCGATGCTGGATAGATAGGCCAAAGAATGCCTTCAAGTACCCGGACTCTGACGATGCGGTGTTCCCGCAACATGAGGTCCATGTGAATTGATGATCATACAGACTGGGCCTGCCGTCTAGATCCGTTGCAGGTCATGAAACCTGTCGATTTTCGGGCACAGAACCTGCCTATGGCGGGCACTGTATTTCGGGGAAACCGTCGGAAATACTCCAACGAAGAGGCCCTGTAAACCAGGGCTCTGCAGCCGATGACTGCTCTCGCCTGGTGCACGCAGAAAGAGATGTTGACCAAGATCATCAAGGAAAACCACCCGAAGATGGAGGCCAAGCACAGCTCCGTCGTTGAAGAGTGCTCAACGTCTTATCGGAGAAGCGTTACTCGGAGGTGCTCGCAGGTGGCGGCGCCGTTCTGGCGAAGACAGGAAAGAAAGTCTCCGTGGCCGAGGCGACAGCAGACGGGTTCTTCCGTTCGACTCAGAAGATATTTTGGCCCAGGCCGAGCTACTCGCTACGAAGGTGAACAGACCCGAGGTGGTGGAATCTGTTGGAGAGCCTCTGGCTCAGTGAAAAAGCATGTCAACTCCCATCGGGTAGTTCTCGACACTGGGTGCTTCAGTGAGACTGTCAGGCTCGTCTCCACTCCAGCCGGTTTTTGCAAGTCTGTGATGACCATCCAGCATCTTCTCCCTCAGAAGATCAATTAAGTTGCTCTGTAACCCCCGGGGTTGCTGAAGCCGCAAGCCCGTGCCATTCTCCATGGCTCGGACGACCCCCCCCCGGGGGCCCCAGCTCAGACGTACACAGTTCCGGACAGCGCAAAAGGGGCCCCAGAGCAGCTACCAGACTACCAGACCTGCCCACGACAGTCGTTTGGACTGAGGCCGGCCGTCGGCACAGTCACGGGCCAGGCCCAGGCCCAGGCGTGGCATGGCGCAGCGCAAAGCATGAATGACGCCTACTCCTACTTGTACATTCTTTTGGTCAATTTAGTTGCTGTCAGGAGCCAATGCAAGATGCACCACCTTCAGAAGCTTGCTCCCAGTATATCACTGCATTACAGCCTCGACAGGTTTTGCAAGGACGGATCGCCGCACGTTTTGCGCTGGGATTAAGGACATTCTGCCGGACCCTGAAGACGGCGTCGACACGTCGCGGAGACCGGTGCTGAAGGCCCTCGAGCGGCTTCAGATTTACCAGACGTGGCCAGCGCTTTGCGGCCGCTCCGCTCTGAACACAGGACACTCGGCGCGCCAAGCGAGCCGCGGGTCACAGGCCAAGGCCCAACTCCGTGAAGAAAGCAAGGAACCCTCAGGCTCGCAGCGGCTCGCAGCCTGCAAATGCCGAACGGAAGCGAGTCGCTGAATCGCCTAACCTTCCGCAGGCGAAGAAGGCGACCTGAAGCAGAGGCAGCAAGGCTGTCTGCTTGTCCATGTCTCACTGAATAAGACTCGGGAAACCGAGCAACCAGACTCTTGCAGCGAAAGGAAAGAGAGTTTTTTCCATTGCATCGACAGCTTTTTTTGACAGCCAGAACGAGAGCGCCAGCACGTGCAGCACCACCGTCATCGGCACTTGCTTGTCCTATCATTGCATGTTTTCAGCAAGTTTGTTTGTTTGTGTGTGTGTGTGTGTGTGTGTGTCTGTGTGTGGGTTCCTTCTTTGTGACCAGCTCCGTTTCATCTTCAGCTTTCGCTGTTTTCTTTCTTTCTTTAATTTGCATGGGTTTGCGAGTGCGGCGTGACCAAAGTACCTCCGTCAACAGTGGCTGCGGTGTTTGGCAAGCGAGTCCATAAACGTTTTGGTCACAAACGTAATTTTACGAAGATGGTGCAGCGGCTGACCAGTGAAGGCCCAAGGTCTCTTGCGTAAACACTTTAACACAGTCCAAGGTCCTAGACCCTGTAGCATTGCCAGAAGAGATGGCGAATAATTTCAACATTAATTGTTATTGTTCGTACCGCCGCTGTTGCGACCTGGCCGGCTCTTGCGATTTTGCCAGGGCGGCAGATTCTCGAATCTATGACTCCAGCCAGAAGTTTCCGCTACCTCGAAGTTTGCTAGCTCAAGCGATTCAGCCAAATACATGAATTGCTGCCTGCGCTAGTCAACGCGGCCGTTGAGCAACGTCCACTTGTTCCAACAATTTCGGACAAACCCCACCGAAGGAAGCAGGAGCACGGTCTCTGTAAACATGGCATTTCCTGCAGCGAGTCGGTGGCAGCATCTCGGCAGAAGTGAGTCTGGGCATAAAAGCTGTTGTCTGGCTCGGAAGCCCCAGGTACAAATGTCCTTTCCGGAAAGCCTGGGTGGATGTCAGCGATGCTGAGGCCAGAGAAGCGCCTGTGCCTGTAAATGCCAACAGCACCTGCAACAGCACCCTGCGGCAGCCTCGTCAGGATCGCCAGCTAAAAGAAGCCTTCTTATCGCTTGCGAGAGGCTGTGCCAACTTGAGCTTCATCTGTCCCTTCACATTGCATCTTGTGGAACTAAAGCATGATCGAGCTGTCTTGCGAGTGCGGAAGCTAAGAGGTGGAGCCCCGGTGGCACAGTGCAAGCTCGGAAGTTTGCGGTCCGGAGCCCCAAGACATGTCAAGCCAGCCCGATCCCGCTACAGAAGTTCTGATTCACGATGTCCGTGACACATCCGCTGATGCAAGCCTCCTGCTCAAACTGAAGCGTGAAGATCTTCGGTGTTGGACACAATGGTCTTGCTGCGGGAGCAGCAGGAATTGCACTTGCATCTGCTCAACCCGAGGGGCCTGTTGCAAGACTAAGCAGCGGTAAGGAGAGCGTGCTGGTCAGGGCCAATGGCGAAGTACATCAATGCCCGGCAAAATGATGACTTTTCCCGCACAATGATAGACTTCGACTTCGATGGCGACGATGGCACCATTTCCAGGAAGTCAATGTTAGGATAGCTATGTTTTCGCCAGCAGGCTGCTCATTCGGTGGTATGGTGCTCTAACGGTGCGTAACTGTGGCGGGTAGGAATGGTCGGGAGCGACGGGAAGAAGTTGACAACCCGTCAGACGTGACGCATCGTGAAGCTGGCCGGCAACTTGGACTACGTCGAGATGCGTCGCTTGGGTCCGGGTCTTCTGGCGCACCGCCAGTGGTTGAGGACGCCCACAGCTTCATTTGCTGATCATGTTGGGGGTAGCCATGGCCGATTACCGTTTAGCCATGTTTGGCCCGCATACAAGCATTTGTCTGGTACTACAAAGGGACTCTGGTTTGGAATCCCTCCCATTTGCTTCGCCGGAAGCCTTTTTAAATCCGTGGAACGAAGTTGCCCGGAGCGTTTAAACCTCATTTGCCAGAAAAGGGTGCCTGGTTCCTTGATTAGCGTCGGCCGGCGAGGTAGCGGTGCATTGCTTGCTTAGTTTTGACAGTGTTGGGATTACACGGATTTGGGGTCTCGTCTCAGGTTCCGGACAGACTTCCGAACGATGCTCCGCACCAACGTCGCCAGCCAGCGCTGTGCGGAGGCGGGAAAGTCGCCCGCGCGCCGCCACACAGCGTGCGGCCAGTGCGCGTTTTTTTTTTTGTTTCAGGTTCGGCTCCGTGACGGCGTGCTGTCCGAGCCCTTAATGGCTTTTTCGCCCTCTCACCCCATGCCCCACGCCCTTTGGAGCCTCCGGGACAAGGCCGTTCGCACCACCACCACCTGCGGAAGAGGCGCAGAACAACACGAAAGCCTGTAAGTCGTAGATGCAGGCTGCACAGAATGCACTGGCTTTCTATCAGGAAGGGCCGTCACGAGCATCCCTCGGCTTGGAGGAGCTTGGAGCTTGCCGTGCAAATGAAGAGTCAGTCGGACAGACAATTGTCTGAGTCTGGCCCCTGCAGGAGGGACTAGCAAACGAGAGGATCGCACCTTGTGATCTAGAGTCTGGGCATAGGCCTCAGTTCGACAGGCGAAATTGAGCTTATGAGTTTCGATGGTTTTGCTTGCGGAGGCCATCGGGCCAGGGCAAGGTTTCCCATCTGGTGGCACACCGAGCCTTCGATTGGAGGGAGCGGCTGATCGCGTGCCCACAGCTCGCTGAGGTTCGCAAGGCTTGGGGCCAGGGCATCGAGGAGGGCATCACAATGCCTCGTCCTTGGCGCTGAGCCGGCTAAGTCCTTCATGACGAGCGCTTTTCAGTCGCTGGCCCAGGAGCGGCCAGTTTGAGTTCACGATGCAGGCTTCTGACAAGGACAAACACACACAAATCCCTGAAGTGGGCAGATATCCTTAAGGCTTAAGGCTTTGCGTTGTGGCGGTTCAAGCAAGTGCAGACACCTCACGCACTTGATTCACTCTCGACCCTTCAAGAGCTGCCAGTTTCTAGGAGTCCTTCGGAGAGATGCTGTCGTGGCAGATGCTCGCTGCTGGCATACCACCGCCGTCTCTGGACAACAGGTGCCGTGCTGTCCCAGCGTCGTTGTGTTTGGATTCTACACTGCACCGGCGCCTGGCGCCAAGGTGCTTGAAGTTCACAGATGCTAGGGGAACAGAGGCGATGGGCAACAAGCAGGAGAGAGCCGGCTCTTGTGCTGTGATTCACACGAAGGTTTCCTGATGTTTTTCCATTGATTTTCAAGCGTGCTTGCTGTCACAAACACAAACGTGGGGAACATCGTGGAACTGGGGAACTCCATTGATTTTCAAGCGTGCTTGCTGTCACAAACACAAACGTGGGGAACATCGTGGAACTGGGGAACTGCCGAAAATCCACATCACGATTGTCTTAATCGGCAATGAGTCCGTGTCGATCCGGGAAGGAGATCAGCAAGATGCTGACCAACCCTGCATCCTATCCTGTTCGAGTTTCCTACTTCCCGCATCCTGCCTTCAAGTTTGTCGACTTCTCAGCATCGCACGGGGAATGCTTCGAAAGGCCAGGCCTGCAAACCTCAGGTGCGGCCAGAACGGGTTCCTGAGCTCGAAGCTATGCGCACCCACCTGAAGCGCCTGGCTAAGCTGGCTAAGTTCTGCCTCGTTCGGTTGCTGAAGGGGTAAGCTGCTTGCCGTGTCGGCTTCAGGTTTGTGCAAGAAGCCGTCGCGGAGTTGGATGGGAACATGGATAACGTCAAGCATACCCACCAAAGGAGAACCTTCGAGCGGTATCTCCTGTACTTGGAGGCCAGCATTTCACAGCATCGGTGTTGTTGTGCAAGCATCGCGATGCTCCGGAGGATCACTACTACCAGACCGGTGACGACCTTCACGATACGCTGAGCTGGGAAGAAGTTGTGCAGAAGTGATCCCGGAGCATAATCTGCACCCACGCGAGAGTCTAGTTGCAATTGCAGTCTCAATTGCCAGGTATGGCCCGGACAAGGAGATGTTCTTCTTGCTGACCAAGAAGACTGGCCCAGGAGAGACGGAGAGAGAAATTCTGCACAAACGACGCGCGCTTCTGAGACACTCTCGAAGGATTGTCGAAGATTCTTCGAGGAGAGGCTCCGAGCCTCTTCGCCGTTTTTTTGCGAAGAGGACTAACGCTGCTGTTTTTTGGCTGCGCAGATCGACGTGCTTGAGTACCTCTTCGGTGGCTGAGCGCCTCAGACCAGGGCCAGACGGGGGCCTCTTCCAGGCGGCCAAAGCTTGCAGCTCAGCACAGGCAAAGGGCAGCTCTGTAGCACAGCACAGACTTCTGCCGCCGCGCTTTGCGTCCCTGGCTCAGGTGTTGTCGCGCGGGTGCTTCGGTGCTTCGACTCCGTGCGATACGTTGCCGCGGGCTGCGGGCGAAAACGAGCCGAGCTCACTTCATGAGCTCAGTGCAGAGCCAGCCCAGCCGATTTACGCGGCTGCTCCCTTTTCCTTGCATATCTTGCACCATGCATCGCATAACTACAAAAAATGCGATCCCTGCGCATTCTCGGACATGGCAGCCGTAGCGCAAATCACCGCAGTACGTGCATTGCGAGTGCGGGCACCTTTTGGCGTGTTAACCTGGCTCGCATCGAGCAGAGTCCATCGAATCCCAACGTCTTGGATGCTGTCGTAGCCACTGTTTCATCCATTACGATGCTGAGCAGTTGTAGGGATCACGCTCATTGTATAATGCTAGCTATAGCTAAGCTGTTTGCGACAGTCTTCAAAGTCCCTCGACCTCAGTCCCCAGCTCTTTCATATCTTTGTTGCGGTCCGGCGCGTTTCCTGCTCAGGCAGCTCTGCAGGGGTCGCTCCTGTCGTCCTGCCATGAACAGAATCTTCTTCCTCACACTCGTGTACCCGTGTGCTCAGGCTGCTCTGGAAAAGTCCGGTTCATGCCAAAGTCGGGCTTTGCTTCAGCTCGATGCTTCACATGCTTCGCGCTCTTTCTCTTCGGCCTGCCCCAACTGGTGCACGGCTGGGACTGCTCCGATGTCCGAGTACTGTAACTGGGAGGACTGCAAGGATTGTCCGGGGTGCGTTTGTTCCGCTGACTGCTCAGACCAGTTAGAGGAATGCGAGGAACAAGCTTGTTCGACCTGCCCACAGTGCGGCTGCGCAGAGTGGTGCTACGGGATGTGGGGGCCGTGGTGTGATGCAATCGAATGCAAAGGTTGCACGGACTGCCTCCCCACAACCACGACAACCTCCAGGCCCTGTGCTATCAGCAGCGATTTGGTGGTGGCCCTGAATCAAGGAGTAGTACGTTGCCGTGAGGATGGGTCGAATTGCACTGAAGTTGTCGGATTTGTGGGCACGCCAGGGGCCCACCGAATCGACGCGGCGGCTGTGGCAGTTTTCAGGAATGGTGATTATCTTCTGACAACGGACAACAAGGTGAAGCGGTGTCCGGCGGAGGGTTCAGGCACTTGCACGACTGTTGCAGGCCAAGGCGCGCGAGTTTGCAAAAGGGAGTTCGAAATGGAATAGATACATTGGCCGTTTTCTGAGTAGTCTTCGCAAAGAGCCTAAAGAGGGACCCTTAACACGGACCACCCTCTGCAGGAGGGAAGGGAAGCGGCATCGACCAGCTTGACGATCCTCGGGGACTTACCGAAGAGAGCAACGGCGACTTCCTGGTCGCTGACAAAGGAAACGGACGCGTGCAGCGCTGCCCAGCGGATGGTTCTGGGAAGTGTTCAACAGTTGCTGGTGGGAACGGAGAGGGGCACAAGTTGAATCAAATGCAGCCTGGTGCCGTGATGATTTCGAAAGATTCCTACCTGATCTCTGACCTTGGTGCCATGCGTGTGCTGCAATGTTTCCAGAGCAAGGGATCAGATCTCTATGACAGATGCGTCGCGGTTCTTACTGGGCTTTGCTCTCCGGTTGCCTTTGCGATGGCCCCTAATGGCGAATACTTGATCCTGGAAAGTGAAATAAGCCGTTTGGTTCAGTGTGCCTCCGGCTCCGCTGGCCCCTGTGCCCGTGTAGCTGACACCTTCGAGACACCCCGAGATTTTGCGCTGGCATCCAATGGGGAGGTCATAGTCGCCGACTACGGGAACTCGCGAATCCGGCGATGCCGAGGCTCCGGCTCGCAATGCAGAGACGTGGTCTTGAACACCCACATGGCTTGGCCTTCCGCCCTCACCTTGGTTCCCACAAAGCTGTATCCACAATGCAAGGCAGGCCGAGGCGCAGACGGCTGAGCCGTTGAGGCCGGAGGAGAAAGCAGCGTGGTGGGCTGAACTCTCCGTTAGTGAACGGTGAAAGCATCTCACACGACGTGTGTCTGCCTGCCGATCTCCTCGACCTCGCTGCAACAGTTGCTGTGACCATGAAAAGCCGGAGCATTCCGCCTTGTGTGTGCACGCTTTGAACATGTAATCCACAGGTCTCTGACTCTGATATTTAACTTGTACTGCAGTTACAGCCCGGCACTCGATCTTCTGCCCATTGCGATCGCTTGCGAGCAACAGCTGGCTTTCCCTCAGAAGCTGCCTTACACCAGGGGGACCCAATTTTTTTTGACCCTTTTATTTTTTATTTTTTGGCCCTTTTTTTTTGTTTGCCCTTCCGTGGGAAGGAAGGAAGGAAGGAAGGAGAAAACAAACAAGGAAGGAAGCAAGAAAGGGAGGATGGAAGAAACAAGGAACGTAATCGTATATACACTGATACCTGCGCAACACTGGACCTCATTGATGGCATTGCAGGTCACCCATGCCCGATCAAAGCTATGAGCCAACGATGCAGCACGCGCGCAGGATTGCAACTCGGCACCACCTTCCACAGGCATGGAGGCATCGATGCGTAGCAAGAAGCAAAACCCAGAGAGAACCCTAAACCCTAAACCAGGGGCATATTCTCATGTGGGAAATGTTGGTTTTTCCCGGGAAACACCTAGAAAACGAACCAAAAACAAAGCAATGAGTTAATCTCATGAAAAAATATAAGAAATTATGTTTTTCCGTGGAAAACCAAGTAAACGAATCAAAACGAAAGAATTCATAGGAACTCCTTCAAAAAGTGGTATTAATCTTACGAAGCTATACAATGTTGGTTTTCCAGGAAAAACGAAGACAACGAACCAAAGAACAACAATGAACACCAAATAGAGAGAAATAAGATAAATGCTCCCAAAACAACTTCACTCGTTTGTTTTCCTGCGTAAACGTAGAAGTAAACATAATCAAATACAGGTCTATGGATGTAGATGTGGACATATCGAGAAAATCCTGGTTTTCCACCCTTAAAACTAGATACAAGATTGGTTTTTATACTAGGGAAATATAAACAAACTAGAAGTTTTCCTATGGGAACGTAGGCAACTCCCCCCTAAACCCGAAACCCGGGAACGTAGGGAACTCGCCTCCCCCCTAAACCCTAAACCCTAAACCAGAGGCACATTTTCATGTGGGAAATGTTTGTTTTTCCCGGGAAACACCTAGAAAACGAACCAAAAACAAAGCAATGAGTTAATCTCATGAAAAGATATAAGAAATTATGTTTTTCCGTGGAAAACCAAGTAAACGAATAAAAACGAAAGACTCATAGGAACTCCTTCAAAAAGTGGTATTAATCTTACGAAGCTATACAATGTTGGTTTTCCAGGAAAAACGAAGACAACGAACCAAAGAACAACAATGAACACCAAAGAAAGAGAAATAAGATAAATGCTCCCAAAACAACTTCACTCGTTTGTTTTCCTGCGTAAACGTAGAAGTAAACATAATCAAATACAGGTCTATGGATGTAGATGTGGACATATCGAGAAAATCCTGGTTTTCGACCTGAAAACTAGATACAAGATTGGTTTTATACTAGGGAAATATAAACAAACTAGAAGCCTATGGGAACGTAGGCAACTCCCCCCTAAACCCGAAACCCGGGAACGTAGGGAACTCCCCCCTACACCCGAAACCCCTAGCCCCGCCCCCACCCCCGCCCCCCCCCCCCCCCCCCCCCCCCCCCAAAAAAAAAAAAGGGCAAAACAAAAAAAAATAAAAGGGTCAAAAAAAAATCTCCACCCTTACACCAGCGGCTTAGACTTGACTTGCTAAGTGGTAGTAACACACCCGCAAAGACACTTTCTCTCTGCTCCCTCCCTATCTCACTCTCTCCCGCTCCCTCTCTCGCCCTCTCTGTCCCTCTGCCTCTCCCTCCCTGTCTCTGTCTCAATCTCTATCCCTCGCTCTCTCTCCGCTCTCTCTATAACTCTCTGCTCTCCACAGGCAGCGGACATCCGGAAAAGCCATTTTATGACCCACGACTGTTGGGCAACATGCTAGTTGTGCGGTCCAGGGCTTTGCAAATTCCTGATCTAATCCTGATCTAAGTGCATTTTGTTCATGCATCTTATGAACCTTATTACGCCATGGCAAGGATGATCTTGAGGGAATCCTCCCTGCCCAAAACTGCAGCTTTGGCTCCAGATCAAAGCGGACTTTACCTCTCTAACCACCGCCTCCAAGCCGGCTGGGCTTGGGGATGAAGCCTGAGGCTTACAGGCGCAGATGACAAATTAGAAGCTTGTTGACTTTGCCCAGGTTTGCGAGTCCAGTGGCGGCATGCCTGCTTGCGCGTCTTGTAGCACAGAGCTCACCACTTCCAGATTGTAATGGAGGCCTGGACAGGTTTCCTGATGTGGTTCAGTGCGTCCTGAAAGGGCCATAGATAGCCATAACGTTATGCCAGCGAGAGTTGGATTGAGCAATGTCAAAGAGCTCTCATTCTCAAAGACACACGCAATGAGAAGGTTCCCAATGTTGGGCTTGTTTGTTGCTCACATTCTCCCACGATGCGGCAAGGAGCTTGCGCAGCAAATTCGGCTTCCTTACTTCAGCGGCGAGCTTGTGGCCAGCAGTCGACAAGAAGGACCCACAGTGAGGAGCTGAGATGGTTTTCCCGAATGCGTAGCAGGAGAGTTCAAGTTGAAGTGTTTGGGCGCCTAGGTGAAGACGCTACTTTGGATTCCACCCTTCAGAAGAAAGCTCGTTACGTGGATGATGGAGAGTCCTTGCGAGCTTTTGGCTACCGCGGCTCGAACTCATTTTCTTCGGATGCCAGACTTGTCGATATGTTGAGGTTTCAGCATGTCCGGTTTGTTATCGGCTGCGCTGTAAGGCCCCAAACTTCTGAGACTCATATTCGATATGAACTACAACTTCCAGGAGGGCTATGAGCAAGCTACCGTGCAAGAAGCAATCCCCTCGATGGTATCTCCAGCTGTAACTCTGGCAGTGGTTGCCCTTGTGGAGACGTACCTTGGGGTGAGCGTTGATTCTGATGGTGTCTCCGTATCTTTTGAGTCAGACGCTTCCCACCATGCGACCGTCCAGTGCGACCTACTCTGCCCAAAGAAGGCGAAGTGCTCCAAGGAGGCTCTGGCGGAAATTTCCAAAGACGTCTTGGATGAGGAGATCAAGATGCGAATGGCGGAGTACGAGCTCCCAGACGGCCTGAGCGCCTTTGCGGTTGCTACCGATGGCACCGTGGACTACATGGACCTGTTCCCTTCAACAACGACCACCACAAACGTGGGACTGGTTTTTGGTAGCTTTTCCGTATTCTATGCAACAGCATCACTTCCTGCCAACTGGGAGGAGAAGATTGACGAATGCTCGGTGTGCCGGTCTGGTGTCTGGTTGAACAGTTCGGGCCTTCCTGAGGGGCGAGAGAGCTTGGGAGAGGGAAGTGCATCGAAGAAAGCGCCCGGCTAAGAGCACATACCGTCGTAAGAGTTCCGCTTTCAGGCCCCTGGTCTACCGCCCCCTATCCGCACAGAGCTTGCAGTCTAGCTGACCTGAGTTTAACTTCGCAGGAGATTTGTGGGCTGGCTGTGCGCCAGGCGGTGGCATCCATGATGGGACATGGACTGAAAGACTCGGACATCACTCTTGCACTGGGTAAAAGTCAAGTCTCGTACAGCTTCCTTTCCCCACCTCATGTTTCTGCCGAGCATATGAAGCAGCGCGCCACACGGATCAGTGATGACACGCTGCAGAGCGAAATCTTGGCAGCTCTGAAGCGTCTCGGTATCGACACTGGCCGCTTGGACTTCAAAGCTTCCTTCATAGAGGAACGCTCTGGCGAGATCCTTAAGCCGGCAAAGCTGTCGTTGGATGAAATGGAGGCAATGCATCCCTGCTCCAGTTTCTCAGATTTCCTGCCAGATGCACCGATGTCAGTGCCTCACTTGCATGTAAGCAAGGGGCCTGGAAGTGAGTTAGTTGATTTCTATGTTCATATCCTCTTATCTTCACACAAACCAATGCCCCAACAAAAAGCTCTATGTGTAATGCTTTTTCGCTTTTCGGGGCGTTGAGTCCTGGTTTGGACGCAGCCGACAGGCTTGCATCTAATTAGGGAATCCTCGCGCAGAAATCTGGACACGTACCAGTATGCGCTAAGGCTGGGAATCACATGTTCGAGGATTTAACTGGCGCCTAAGGCAGAAAAGCCATCCCCGAGCACATGCAAAATCAAAACTAGAACAGAGCCAAAGTCAAAGTTAAAGCAGCACTCCCGCGAAGATGACTGTGGAAAGTAGCCCCCTACCATAGGCGTCCATAGACCCCTATACAGACCCCTATGCTTTTCCTATAGACCCCTATGCGCGCGACCCCTGCCGCGGCCACAAACCCCTACAGATAGATTCTATGCATTTTCCGATAGGCCCCCACTGATAGACCCCTACGGGAATTCGTACAGACCCCTATAGATAGGCCCTATCTCTACTTAGGCTAGCCCCCTATGCAGCATAGGCCCCTATCGATTTTCCATAGCCCCCTATCCCGATCGCGATAGGGCCTATCTCTCAAGCAATAGGCCCCTATGCCTTTCCTTGTCCTGTTTGAAGCACTTTTGATTTGTGCAGTAGCCACGACCTACTAGCTTTCGCGCACGGCTTTCTCGCAGCTAGGCAGCTAGGAGCCTCCATCTCATGCAGCCACTGGAGTAGCAGAGCATGCGGGAATGTGAAGGAAGTAGGGTTTGCCGAAGCAGGGTTCAGAACCCTGATAATGGGAACTTGGGATTAATAAACCCCCCCCCGCCCTCCCCCCCCCCGCAAGGTAGCTCGTTTTGTCTGAGTGGTGCTTGTTTGTTTCAGCTGTGCGACCCCCTGAAATAGTAATGTTTACTGCTCAAGCATTTTGCTTGGGCCCAGAAGCACCGCAGTCGGGAGCTCAGATTCTGAAGTGTGGCTCCGCCTGATTGTGGTGAGTCATGATAACTGGCTGAATCGTGTGGCTCAGGGCCTAGCGCCTAGTTAGGTCTGATTAGGGTTTAAGCATTAACTCAGGTAACTAATGCCAACACCCAACCATCTAAACCCGAGACCATTCTCCCTAACCACTCGAACACTAAAGCCTGAAACCTCGAAACCCCCTAAGCACCGAACTCGAAACTTCAAAATCCCCAAGCCTCTTACGCCTAAACACCAAACCGGACCAAACCCGTAATTAAACCCTACGTAGACCATCATCTTACCTTTTCCACCTCTAATCCCTAAACCCAACAGCCTAAATCCCTAAACCCTTTCATTTTTCAAACCGTAAAACCCAGCCCTAATCCCAAAACCTTAAATCCCTAAACCCTATAAACCCTAAAACCTTAAAACCCAAGCCCTAAAAGTCCCAGACGTCCTAGCTTTCGCCTTCCTCGACCTCTTCCTCATTTTGTGCCGGCGCCTGAGGGTTTAATTAATTAGGTAGGTGGTTGCCCCTAAGCCTCGGTTCACCCCCCCCAGCTTTAGCCCCAGTTGCCCCGTGTGCATGATTGTTTGGGGATCCCTTGCCGGTTCTTCGTGAGCCTGGCTCGGGGTCCCCGCTCAGTCTGGCAGGAGACGGCTCTTCGTGAGCCTGTCTCCAGCCGATTGAGCTAGAGGTCTTGGGAGCCGGCTCTTCGTGAGCCTGGCTTCCGAGTCCTCCGATCAGGCTCGTTGCCGGCTCCTTGTGAGCCAGGCTCCGACGCCGATCGTCAGCGCCTGAGCTTGGGGTCTCGGTCAGGCTCGTTGCCGGTTCTTCGTGAGCCGGCTCCGACGCCGTCCGAACCCCAAAGCCGGTGCATCGGCCTGAGCCGGCCACTTGTGTGTGCCGGCCGGTCTGAATGGGGTTACCCTAAGCCCTAAACCCGTTCGGAATTTTGACCCCGGATTCCTTAACCCCTTGTGATTAATTAAGTATTAAGTAGTAGCTTCGGAGTTTGAATGATTTCTTTTCCGGCTGGGGTTTGGGGAGCTTCAGGGTGGCTTTTGGGTTCTTTTTATGGCCAGGGGCTTCTTCTTAGCCCATAATTACTGAGGCCTGACCACGATTCTGATGCTCCTTCACTTAGCGGCCAGGCACTCATTGTTTGTGATTGAGCCAGCGTAATGACACTCACTCAATCATTCACTCACTCACTCAATCACTCACTCACTCCATCACTCACTCAATCCCTCGCTCGTTCACTCACTCAATCACCCACTCACTCCCTCACTCGTTCACTCACTCAATCGCTAACTCCCTCACTCACTCGCTCACTCACTCAATCACTCACTCAATCACTCACTCCCTCACTCGTTCACTCACTCAATCACTCACTCCCTCACTCACTCGCTCACTCACTCCCTCACTCACTCAATCACTCACTCACTCTCCCGTTCACTCACTCAATCACTCACTCACTCCCTCACTTACTCGCTCACTCACTCAATGACTCACTCAATCACTCACTCACTCTCTCCTTCACTCACTCAATCACTCACTCACTCCCTCACTCACTCGCTGACTCGCTCACTCAATGACTCACTCGCTCATCACTCACTGACTGAATCACTCACTCGCTTCTGCCCCATTGAGGCCTGACTTTGGATGACGTGGAGGTTCCGGCAGTGCTACATGCTTTGGGACAATAGTTTGTTTGCACTGCTTTGTTTTTGAGGCCTGTGAGCTTGGATCCACTCCACTGGATGATGATGCGAGGTGCCAGGCGATTGCTGCTTTTGTTCGATTGCACCCTTGTGTCATCCTCTGTTGAGGTCACCTCGGACAGTCCGCGGGCGGTGGATGATGCGAGCGAGAGACCTGGTGTGCTGCTTCTCAGGATACCGACCAACTTTTGTTTGCTTGTCTCAGGCCTGAACTCGATGACCGTCCGATGGTCTGCGGTGCGAGACTGAGAACCTAGTTAGTTGTCGCACTATGATTGACTGCACTCTTCAATGTTCATTGTGACCGAGGCCTGACCTGAGGTGCTGGCGCTTTGATGTGGAGCTCCCGTTGCAGCTGGTTTGACTTCACGTGATGCATGCACCCTTGTCTGACGGAGGTCCGATGGGGGTTGTGTGGTGCCCAACTTCTGCACTTTTGTGAGACTTCAATTACCCATTAAGCAATACAGTCTGTGTGGACGATGCTGAGGCTGGAGATCGCGACAAGGATCGAGAACTTTCAATCGAGGACCGTGTGCTGTCTGCATGCCGTTGCCCTTTGAAGCTTTTTTCGCATTGTTGTGTGTGGATTGCGCATGTCACTGAATGTCCTTGCTTTGCATGCTGCGGGCAACTGCTCAGACAGAAAGATGTTCATGGAGTCCGATGATCATGGGCATGCGGCTGAAGCCTGACTGACTAACTACTGACTGATCGCCGAGTTTTAATAAGTTTGAAAAGGCTGATCATAATTACATTTTCGCAAGTAGTTCCACGTGCCTGAGCCTTGCCTGAGCAATGACATCATCCAGCTCCAGCTCCAGTTCAAGCTCAAGTTCAAGCACGTGCTCTTGGTTGGCTGAGCCGGGCAGGCGGACGGACTGTTGCAGTCATTCATTCTTGTCTCATTCATTCTTGTCATTGTTGTCCCTGTGACTGCATTGAGGCAAAGGAAAAAGCCGAACCCGGCAAAGAGGAAGGCCAATAGGAAACGCAAAGCCCAGGAGGAGGAGGAGCGGAGCAAGGCCCAGAAAAAGGAGGAGGAGGAAGCGGCGGCCATCAAAAAGAAGGAGGAGGAGGCAAAGAAAGGCAAAAAAAAGCCTGATGCAAAGAAGGAGAAGGCGAAGGCTGAAAAGGCAAAGACGAAGCAGACTGAGAAGGATGAAAAAAAGAACAAATCAAAAAAAAGCGATAAGGTGAACCCGGCCAGTGGCAGCAAGGAGGAGGCCAAAAAGTCTGAGCTGGCAGAGGGCTTGGAGGAGGACAAGAGCAAGACGTCTGAGCCTTCCAGTGGAAGCAAGGAGGAGGCCAAGAAGCCTGACCCGGCCAACAGCAGCAAGGAGGTGAAGAAGTCTGAGCCGGCCGAGGGCTTGGCTGAGGACAAGAGCAAAAGGCCCGAGCCGGCCAGCAGCAGCAAGGATGTGCCGGTGCCTCAGCAGAAGCCTGAGCAGAAGAGCCAGAAGGGCAAGGGCAAAGGAAAGGGGAAGTCCGAAGCGGGGAAGAACAATAAGGAGAAGATAAAAAGGGATGAAAAGAAAAAGAAGAAGGAAGAGAAGAAGGAAAAAACACGATTGAAAAAGGAGGCGAAAAAGGCAAAGAAGCAGGAGAAGGAGCAGGAGAAGGAAAAAAAAAAAAGGAGGAGGCGGAGGCCAACATGGGCCATTACGTGGATGAGCAACTCGGAAGGATGTCCTTCGAGGTTTCCTGGCTTGAACTTGGTGCCCGGGCAACATGCAATCCTAAGTTCCTAAGTTATCCATTACTTATGCGAGGGAACGTTCCCCAGCCAAGGCCCTGTCGCATGAGTACCTCATGCGATGCACTGCCCTGTGTTGGCTTCGCGAAGCAGTCCCGGCGGGGTGATGTCACATGTCTGAGCCTGTTTTTATTTATTGATTTTGATCCCTGTCAGGACGCTCCTCGAAGGTTCGCAGACACCCGTGTGGAGATCGTGACGCCGACGTCTGAGGTTCAGGAGGCGAAGCTTCGGAAGGCCACTTGGAGTCAAGTAGTTAGCGGCTAGTGACTCTGATATTTTCTTCTCATGTCATGCATGCCTGTGGGCCCAGGAGTTGGAGCTGGCCTACATCAAGCAGCATGCCCACCTGGCATGGTGGAAGTTGAACCACCCTGCAACTCGGCGAGCATTATGTGAACATTTGAACAGTTGGCTTAGCTGTGCTATGGTAGTCATCACCTGAGTGAGGCCAAGTATGATCGCGCCCAAGAAGTCTGCTGGCTGAGACCCCCTCCTGTTTCTTGTCGCATCTAAG